CTATCACGAGATTTTAGAGGCTGCCGGCATTCCACCGATCATGGCTTATATGGAAGACATTTGCCGCAATCTCTTTAGCAACATTATCGGAAAAGATAATCACGGGCTTCGTGAATTGTTGCCTTGTGCCAACCATCCAAAGCACAATTTAAGACGTAACAGGCGTTTCGAAATCCCCCGGTGGAGGACAAACCGTTTTAAAAACACCTTCATGATGGCCTCCACCATTAAATATAACAACAACAGTTGATTTAACGACCGTTTCCTAGAAACCTATGTAGATAATGTAAATATAGCTTTTAAATATAGATAGGTTTTAGCTCATAGATTTTTTAACTGTTATAATTTTGAATATTCTTGTATACGTTATATAATATATTTATTTAATTACATTATTGTAATATACGCAATTCAGCCGCAAAGCTGCTAGGTATATTTAAATAAACTATCTATCTATCTATCTAAGGTAGATTATTGCGATAAAAGCCACAAACAGAAGAACACAAACACCCACTAATAAACCAGCAAGCTGGGGTGTTGAAAGGAGTTTACTGCTGCCTGAGACTGGAGACTTTACCGTTGGTTTTCAGTAGTCCTATCAACTAAACCTACAAACAAGAGGAAAGTTATCATTACTTTCTATAATCTCTTTATTCATTCAGAAATACTGATTCTCTCTGTTTTTGCTGGACATTTCCTATCTTCCTTTAATTGTGCTACATTCTTAGAATTTTCGTCTGTAATGTTTCATGAAGACAATCTTATTGTCGCTAATAAGGTTCATTATTGTTATAAAACACATTTATATGGCATTCAACTGACAAATAATCCTCATTTGATTATCACGGATGATGATGTCCGGTCAGGTTTTTGAAACATCAGTCTCTGCTACTGCTCTACTGGAGCGATTAGATAACATGACTAATTAGTTTTTCTCGAACTCTTCGTGAAAAAAACTCAGTTCAGCCCCAAGAAAAAATACCTCTATCGTCTCTCTGGCAAATGATGTCTTTATCACAGACTTTGTTGCAAGTCCCCGGTGTGTATTTCCATTTCTCTTTACTGGTTCAAGTTTGATATAAGACACAAGAAATATAAGGAAAACGAAAGAGAAAAAAAGTTCATAAGTACCTGATGATAGTTGTTATCAACCATGGCCTCGACCTCTCACTCTGTCCCAGCTCATTCCACGCCGACACTTCAATTGTGTACTGCTTGTCATATTCTAACGATACTGTATGGCTAGTCTTGGTAACATTAGTAACGTTGACTTGGTACCAGGACTCCCCTTATCCTCGCGGTTGAATCAGTCGAAAGTGTATTGAGTACATGGTCAGTGGACACCCGCTGCCTGTTGGAGGACTCCAGGAGACGGTGACATTATTAACTAAATTAACCAGGAAATGATACTAACAAATTAATTAATATTAATAGTCCTACAAATCGAAAATTTTACTAAAAAGATAGGTCTTAAGCTCTGACTTATATGTCGCAAGTGATGTTGCCTGTCGTATGGTATCTGGGAGCTTGTTCCACAGGTAGGGCGTGACATAGTTTAATGACCTGCTTCCCTAAGTCTTAAGTTTAAACTTAGGCACTTGCAAGAACTGTTTGTTAGAAGAGCGTAGAGTTCTAGCTGGTGTGTACTGCACTAGCATGTACGATATATATTGAGGCGCCATGGCATTCAAGGCCTTCTATGTAAGTAGTAATATCTTGAAAGATATACGTTGTTTAACAGGTAGCCAATGAAGATCTATTAAGATTGGCGTAATTCTATCATAACCGCGAGTACGGGAGACTAAGCGCCCGGCAACGTTATGCACACGTTATGTACACTTAACGTGTTTAAAAAAAAACCTGAGTCTTTCTCTATGTATGTTTTTACAATTGCAGGCATTCTTATCAAGTAAAGGATTGATCCATCGTAATTTGGCAGCTCGTAACGTTCTCCTTAGTGAAAATAAAGTGGTGTAAATTTCTGATTTTAAACTCATGAGGCAAACCCATCGGAAAACGTTTACATACTTAAGAAAGGGGAAAAGATACCGGTGAAATGGATGGCGCCGGAAGCACTTTACAACAGTGAATATACAACCAAAAGTGATGTGCAAGTGTCTTGACGCCTGTTAGATGACTGGTTGTTACATATACCGTGGGGTGGTTGTGGTTAAAATTCACTTATCCCCCTATAGACCTCTGTAATATTCTTATGATGCCTACCTCACTGGCAGCGACTGTTTCATAGTCCCCCATTCATAATCTGTTGGCGACGACTGATGCCCCCTCCATTCCCACTGAAAACTATGTGATCCCAAAAAATCCCCCGCCCCTCTCCCCCACGTACTAAATAATGGTTGGTTCCTGATCGAATTCAATGAAGATGCTACACGTACCAAGGTACACTTTATCATGTAACTGCACTGACTCCAAAATAACATCAGTTAAATAGCGAAAGAAAGCAGTCACGGATTGCTAGCGACACTCAGTTGATAGTTGCTCAACACGTATATCGCCACAGCCTTGTATCATGTAGTCAGAATATCATGTTTGTATGACCTCGCTCATGTTAACATGTTACCGTTGCCTTTTACCATGCTACGAAGTAGGTCTGTACAGGCGATTTACTGTTACGTTTAAGTTTTCTGACGAACATAATTTTTTCAGGTGGTCTTTTGGAGTTCTCCTCTGGGAACTTCCTACAATGGGTAAGTACACGTCTAAAGAATGGGATGCAGAACGCCTAATGCGATTTTCACTGCTATTTTGGTTTTTCTACCTCTAACTTCTCAATAGAGATCTGATGAATAAATCTCTCCATTGACGACAATACATTACTTTCATGATGAATAACACAGCTTTCTGTCCTATAGGAGGAAACCCTTACCCAGGAGTCAATAACAAAGAGTTGTACAATCTTCTCAAGACTGGATATCGAATGGAAACACCAGACACCTGTTCTGAAACATTGTAAGTTGCGACCAATATTTGCAATATTTCTTTCATTCGACGTCGTTTTGCAATCGATACCTTGTGCTTGTGAACTGTTCGTGGGTTTTTTTTTTTTTCGAGTAACGAGTATGATATATTTGTCCCAGTTGAGTGTTCTTGAAGGGCTTCATCGATATAAGATATCACTTGAGATAGATACATATATCTTATAAGACGTTTTGTTGTGTAGTATCGCTGAGTATTTTTACGAGTTGTGCCGTATTTTGACGAGCCCGTAGGGCGAGTCAAAATACAAATAACGAGTAAAAATACTCAGCAATACTACACAACAAAAAGACTTATAAGTTATTTATTATCGAACACGCCAAACTGTTATTTCAGTGCGGGCGAATTTCGCCGATATTTATATACGGAGAGTGCGTGACAGAAGTATGCGAAGCGGAACAGAATTGGCGCGTTGTTGTGTTGCTGTTTCTATTTTCTTCATTAAATGAAGAGATTTTCTGGTCGTCAAGCTGTTTTTCTTCGTTAGATTCATCTAATGAACTTGGATCTATATTTGCCAGCCATTCTGACTCGNTGTTGGATATGAGATGATTATAGCCAACTCGGCGCTACGCGCCTCGTTGGCTATCTATCATCTCATATCCAACGCGCGCTCGTGGAATAATTGTTAATTATACGATTCCTTTCTCAGATACCAGCTGATGTTGGATTGTTGGAAGGAGGAACCCAATGAGAGACCAACTTTTGAAAACATCACGAGATTATTGGAGGAAATGATGCAAGAGGACTCTCCTTATTTGGATTTTGAGTCACTTGATGAGTCAAAGGATTATTACTGCAGTCTAGAAAAGCTTTCTGACGATGAAGTTACCGCTTAAATCTGGACTGAGCTCTTCAGGAAAAAAGAGACAACCTCAGCTGTAGAAATCGGCATCCATGTGTGCAAGCTGAAAACAACAGAGGGTCTCAATGGGGTGATGGCCTTAACGGTGAACGAATAATTACTTTTCATTGTAGTTGAGAGAAATATTTTTACGGTTAACGTTTTTGACAACTAACGCTTATAATTCGGCTAACACTTAACCCCACTGGGACACTCACAGTAGCTAAAGGAGTTTACCCCTGTCAGAGAACGCGCAGAGAGAGTTTTGAATTATCTAGAACAAAATTGCTTTGTCCTTGTAAGTACTTATTCATTTAAATATAAATTTTCCTGCACATACTATTTGAAAATGGCATTCTCTGTACAGAACAATTTATGGCAATTCAAGCAGTTATTGTGAGGAAAAAATGTTGTACTTTTTGTAGAGGGACAGACGACGCTTGTTTTTGATTCCCCGAGGGTTTATCTCTCGATTACGCAGCAGACTCTATGATAATTATTTTTACATAATTTCAGCTTTGTTAAAGCTTTTTTTCTTAGCTGTATTTTCCCACCGACATATGAAGCAAGGACATGAGTTAGACCAAAACTGCGAAAACTATTGAGACGAAAAGAGAACGGGAAGCTGGTCTGAGATTATGAAAAAAACATAATCCAGACTGGGCCGTAAATAAAGAACGAAAACCTCAAAATTGTCCAACAGGCACCTAACTCATAGTAGTGCGTGCTGCTTAATTGGGGACCTTAATTGGGTAAACAAAGCTTAGGTCACGGTACTGGCCGGCCTGGCTCCGTGCGCCTTAGCCAGAGTTCAGGTTCCGCTGACGCGCGAAAAGGACATTAAAAGTGAATGTAAATTACATCCTCCACAGTACAGCATATGTGAGACCCCTGATAATAAAAAAATTAACTAGGCTCCTTGTACTGTTGCACCCAGAATCTCCAGGGCCAAACCGAAACAGAAAGTTTGTATTCGGTTATAAAATTGTGATAGTGTCGCCTGCACGTCCGGGTGGGTGAAGTCCAGAGAAGGAATTTTACTACCGGATTCAAACCATTTTACGGCTATAAAATTAACCTGACTCGTGTAAGGATCAGCAGTTACCCTTACATGAAGATTTATTTTCAAATTTTAAAACCTAAACATTTTTACTAATAACTGCTCCGTTTCCTTAATTCTCTGACGAGTAGTGATCCAGCGAGTAGCGATCCAAAGTTCTGTAGACAATGGATCAGCACTGAGGGGTGGCTACAAAAAGAGAAAATCATTTTTTTACAATGGTTTCACCCGTGTTTTTCTCTCGGAGGCCTCTAGATTGGGTGAAGGAGGGGGAAGGGGACTATAAAAGATAGGCACAGGGAATCATACTTGGGTAATGCGACCGTCATACACGTGTTTTAGGATTGGAAACACTTTATAATCATCGAAGTGAGATGATTACATATCTACGTACCCCAGTTCACAATGTGGATCATCGGCACCAATATCTGTCGGGAAAAAAATATTCTCAATTAATGCACACCACAGCCACTTGGTTAGTGAAGAGCAAAAAGATGCATTATAGTGAATACCTGATACCGAAGTATAGAAAGTTTGCAAATAGTACTTTGCCTAAGTAGGAGAGTCTATTTAGAGGCATTGTACCTCTGATTGGTTTACAGGCTCTCTTTTTTCTTTTATGGTCCTGAGTGTGGTGCCGCATCCGAGAAAGTTTGCAGATGTTTACATAGGAATTATAGGGAGATCAATGTCTGATTTCAGTTGAAACTACCAAAGCTTTCGGCTGAGAACAATTTTACGTGAATTGATATTAGGAATCGATGGCAGATGAATATTTACATACCCTGGTGGACAATTTTCTTCACGAGTTTCTTCATCCTTAACCAACTCACTTCTGCGGCACCAATATCTGCAGGACCAAAAATAAACAGTTAATAGATACCCAGAAATCGTGTGGACACCAAAAAAGCTCCAATGAAACGAATTAAATCCAAATTTCGAAACGTTGTTGTATCTTCCTTCTAAAGAGAAGGAAATATAACGAGAAGCAATGTTTTGGCAATTGCTTAATGACCCGGTAAACACTCATGATCACTTAGTGCGAAGGAAGTTTTTTTGTCCATGACCATGACAAAAAGGCGGCACTGAAATGAATACTTAATGTGAGCTTGGAAAATAATCACAAGTGTTTCGCTGGGAATATTTTCACGTTAACTTATATAAGGAATCGACACGAAATGATTATTTGACACYCCGGTGGGCAATTTTCTGGTTGCCCTTCTTCATCTCTGACTGTATCACTTCTTCGGCAATTCAAGTAACAGCAGGACGGGAAATACACACTCATTTTATGAAGAGGAAACTTGTAAACGAAATCCGTGGGAGAATTTATATATCTGGCAGTACTCAGATTTTCCCTCCATTTGAAGCTGCTAACGAGACATATCACGAGCGAAACCAAAAATATCTTTCGGAACAACTAAGAATCTATAGATAAATATCTACTTACCCTGGTGGGCAATTTTCCGGTTGAGTTTCTTCATTCCTTGGTATCTCACTTCTTCGGCACCAATAGCTACAAGGAGGGAATTAAACAGTGTTTTCTTAGAAAGGAGTCGTGTGAATAGACAATGTAGCTGTACCGTACTGATTAAGTTTGAAAGGTTCTTAGAGGTATTTTTCCCCGGGAAAAAGATGCTAAGAAAAAAGGGAAACAAGGATTGGACGATTTTGTGGACCTATCATAACGATAATGAGAAAACACGCACTGTAAGTATCCCGGAGAGCTCCTTATAATTCCTTACAATAAAATTATAAGGAATTGTATATGGAGCTTTTTTAACATTAGTCGTGGCACGGCGGGTGTTGTCATGTATGATCCTCGCAAGCATCATACGTGACAAAACCCGCCACGCCACGACTAAAGCTAAAAAAGCTCCATACAATTCCTTATAATTTTATTATAAGGAATTGTATAAAGCTCTCCGGGATACTTACAGTGCAAACCCTGTGCGTCTTCTCATGGAGTTGAACCCACGTGCCTTATTTTTGCCTTTCTAACCGGGCAATGCAAGGAAGCCTTTTACCAGGATTCGACCTTGTAGTCCTTGATCAAATGCGGTAAAGACTTGCACACAGGTGGTATTTTTCCAAAGTAGGAGGGTCTATTTAAAGGCATTGTACCACCAACTGGTTCACAAGCTCTCCCTGTTCTTGATTAGTTATCGGTGTGGTGCTGTTTTTCATCTCGCGCGAGCGAGTGAGATCTTTTTTCGTCGACAGCATCAAAGAGAGTTTACTGGTATTTTACACAGGAGTTATACGGAGATCAGTGATTGATTTCAGTACAAACCACTAAAGAGAGAACAATTTTACGTTAATTGATTTCAGGATAGGTTGGCAGATGAATATTTACATACCCTGGTGGACAATTTTCTTCATGAGTTTCTTCATCCTTAACCAACTCACTTCTTCGACACCAATATCTGTAGAACGAAAAATAAAAAGTTAATCGAAACCCAAAGATCGTGTGGAGACCGAGAAAGCTCCAATGAAACGAATAAAATCACATTTTGAAACGTTATTCATAGTATAGTTTCTCTGAAGAGAAGGATACAGAGTATATTATCTCCTTTCCAGTGAAAGAGTCAATCGACATATTTGGTATGAACATTGACAACAAACTTCAGTTTGATAAACACGTATCTTCGATATGCAAAAAGATCAATATTCAGTTAAATGTCATGATAAGACTTAGAAAACTGATCTCTAAAGCCACTTCGGTCAAATTGTATAAGGTCTTCATCTTACCGCACTTTCAGTATCATTCATCCGTGTGGCATTTCTGTAGCGTACGAAACACCAAGAAACTAGATGCTCTTAATAAAAGAAGACTTAGGTTCATTGTAAATGATGTTGAATCTACGTATAATACTTTATTGAACAAAGTCAACTGTGTTTCTTTATAGAACAGACGTATACACAATATGTTAATTTTACTTTACAAAAGTTTATTTCTAGGTATCCTATCTACATGAGGAATATGCTTACTTTTCGTAAAACCACTTATAATTTAGGCGGTAACTACATTCTGAAACACCCTGTTGCTAAGACTACTTCCTGTGGCCTTCACTCTTTTTCTTATCATGCCGCTTAACTATGGAATTCACTACCGAACAATGTTCGAACCTTGAACCTTAATGACTTTAAAAGCATTAGCTAGTCTTAAATCAATGTAATTTTAGAACATATTGCAACTGAATTCATATTGTATTTTTAAATATTCAGTGAATCTATTTCTTTCATTTTAGCCTGTTAACTATAAATATTACACAGGATTGTATTTTATGTCATTGTATATTATGTTAATTTCTTTTGTTATTTGCTCTATTTCTCTCGGAAAAATTAGTTTTTATAAGCTACTCTTAAATTCGAGAAAACATAAAGTTTATGTATGTATGTATCTATGTATGTATGTATGGAAAGCAATTTCTTGGCAATTGCTTAATAACCCGGAAAACACTCATGATCACCTAGTATGGAAGAATTCTTTCTGTCCTTGACCATGACAAAAAGGTGGCACTGGAATGAATACTTTAAGGTTAACTTTTCAAAATTGTTTCGCTGGGAATAATTTCACGTTAACTGATTCAAGGAATCGACACGAGACGATTATTTAACATAGCCCGGAGGACAATTTTCTGGTTGCGTTTCTTCATCCCTGACTGGCTCACTTCTTCAGCAATATTCCAGTACATTCAGGACGGGAATTACATAGTCATTTGATGCACTGGAATCTTGTAAACGAAAACCGTTGGAGAAAGTTTACACATGGCAGTCATCAGGATTAATTATATTAATGATAAGCGTTTGCTTCAAGTCGTTCCACCGAAGAGGTCCATCATCTTATTCGTGATGTTGATTTGCGTTTACTTAAGAACGCGCTAATATCGTACATGCGATTTAACAACGTTAGTTCTCTTGGCTTCGACACTTCAAAAAAAATCTTCTTCTAATAGATAGTTCACTTAAAATTGCTGACCCTTATGCTGGCTAAAATTTCACGTTAACCCATGTTAGGAATTGAAGATAAATATTTACATACCCTGGTGGACAATCTTCTTCTTTTGTTCCTTCATCTTTGACCGGTACCCTAGCGATCATTTCATACGAAGAAATCGTGTGAGTATAGACAAAGAATGCTGCGCCTCAGTGATTAAGTCTGAAACGTTGTTAGTCTTATTTTGCTCCAGGAAAAGAGGTTTCTGTGTTGCATTTTAGCCCTCACTCGGTCTCTGAGGCACCCTTCCTTCGTTGGAACGCAGATTCAGGGATATTTTGGGGCTATATATAACCGAGACCTTGAACCCACGAGCTTCATCTTCCGCCTTCTTATCCCAACGGTTACCATTTAGATGAAGATCTTGACCAGAAGGATTCGCCCTTGTAGCCTCTGATCATATGAGCGAGTAAGGGGTAAAAAATTGAACAACAAAACTATCTTTATTGCTTGTGTGTAGACCTCTATTTCCTTTTCGCGAGCAACAGTCGAAATGAGAGACGCCTGCACATGGGCAACTATTTTTGGGGACCTGGAGTGAGGAAAGCATATGCAGCATGTCTATTTACGCGCGAGAGATTTTTGATAATTTTTTTACAACATGGAAGAACTTAATGTGTATTTTTAGGTAGGGCTGATACATTAGTCTAATCAGTGAAGAGGTACCAACACTACCTCGGGTGATGCGTAGGATATGTTTTTTTCTGGAAACTGAAAACACATATGAACACATAAACATATAAACATGTGAACATGTAAACACATGTGAAATACCATAACTTTTTGTTTCCAGTTTACTGAGATAAAGCGAATGTTTATGGTTGTCTTACATAAGAGGAGAAGTCTCAACAGCGTCAGACGCCAGGTCCCTCAAGCACAGGAGATCATTAGGATTACACGAGGAAGACCATTTATCTACTGGTTTGGCGATCACTTGGGTTACAGAAGACAAACCTAGTAAGAGAGCCATTACTGACATGATATTCAGCGACATTCCTTCAAGGGAAAACATAAAAAGAAGGTGTTAATAATCAATGCAAAATTTTGTTTTCAAGTGATCTCTCTGCTAGAAACTCATTTGTAAACCTACTGATACTTGTACACAACAGCTGTCAAAAGCAGCACAATGAGCCGACAACTCAACCAGAACACAGTTTGGGGCTGTTTAACCTCGTCATCTGATTTACTCACATTTGCGTGAGTCTGTTTTTTGGCTTGATTCACTTGACGCCAGGGAAATTAATATACTATGAAACAATTTGCTTTTGTTTTTGTTTTGTTTTGTTTTTTTGTGTTTTTGTGTTTTTTTCATCCCAAAATCCATTCTGTGGCTATTACTAGGCGGTGTGGCCCCTCAGAGTCATCAGATACCCTTCAAAAATTTCGAGAAAACTCATTCAGCATCCCACTCGCTGATCTATTCACAAAGTCAAGATGTTAGTTGCGTGGCTCTCTATCGCAAAAGGATCCCTAACCGCTTGTTCACGATTCGTCTCGGCCAAGAAAGATACTTCTCAGAATTTTAAAGCAAACTCGAATGAATTTCCGAACGGAACTTGATGCGTGATACTCTCAAAGATTTTGCTTCCCAAAAATCTGCGAGTTTTCTCCTGGCCGAGGCAAAACACCGCATCATAGAAGCCACGAACCCTTTTTCACAAGTATTTGAGTATCTCCTATCGTAAAAAAAAAACAAAAACAAAAACAAAAAAAAACCGACCTACTCAAAGATTATTAAGGTTCGCCCACCTTTCGTTCTTTTGGGGTTGGCTATAGTTAGCGAGTTGATGGGAGCTTTTGGAACGGTTGATTTTTCCTTCTCACAAATTACGCCCCTCTAGCCTCAAAGGACATGCAAATGAAAAACTCTACCCAAGGAGCTGGCGCGAAGAAGGGAAGTCAACCGTGGGTCTTAACCCTTTGGGTTTTGCTGGGTTACCTGATGGGTTTTAAGGTCGATTAATTCCTCAATATTCACTGATGCCACATCAAAAGTAAAAGGAATTCTTCCTATGTATTTAGAATGGCCACTTGAATCAAGCTGAGATCGACCAATAAAAAGGTTTAGCAAACTAGGAGAGCAATGGTCTCAATGCAAACGGCTGGCGTCACGCTTCTTGCCTTTATTTGTTTAAGGTTTTCTATTTGTTTAACTACGCAATGACTAAAGCTATGGCTCGTCGTTGAATCACAGGACATATAACAAACGACTTTGCAGAATTAGTGATCCATGTGACAGATTCTGATACAAAAAAAAATCGTCCGGCGAAAGAAAACGAAAAATCGAAGACAAGTTTCAGTGTTTTTCACTTTTTCACTGACATTCAATAATGAGCGCAGAATAATTCACAGACGTGATGTGAAAACAAAACAATATATTGCTTTTCAAGCAAGTCACGAAAACCACTGGGAAAGTCCATAAAAAAATGCACAAGATCATATAGTAAAACTCTGCAAGTCTACGTTGCTGGTGATAAGTTTATGATAAAAATATGAAGAGATGAATAAAGAGACTGAGTCTTTTTTCCAAAACCTTTAACAGGAGAGCAAGGTTAGCAGAAAAGAAAGTATTTAGCTTTAAAATGCTGACATGACTCGTGCCAGTGCCATCAATCGGTCTCTCTCTGCAATTTATACTATACAATGCAATACAAACTTTAATGACACTCCCTAAAGAGGGTTTTTCGGTGACATGTACATCAAAGGCCAGATTGTGGATTTTTTTAACAGGTTCCCTTTGCGCAACTTTGCAACTTTTCTAAAGCTCATATTTCCATTTCTCTTGAGCTGTACACGCGAACACAAATATCATACCTCTTCCACAAAGATATCTTTTTAAAACTTACTGACAATTGGAAAAGTAATGTTTAATTTTACTTTAAATTCCTATGGACTTATTTTTAAAGAACAACAAGCATGAGCAACTATTTCAGATCGACTTTTGGAGAAAAAAAAGAAAAGACATGTACAACTTCTATTGCGTGATGTTCCGTTAAAGCCAACAGGAAGTGCTTCTTGAAACATCTTAAGCTTGCAACATGCTCGACATATATTAAATTCGGTTAAGCAGCCAATGCCATTGTAGTAAAAGAAAAGTCGTGTCCTAAATTGTTATCGGAATACTTTTAGAATGTGCACTTGAGCACATTCAAGCAGTTACATAGAAGAACAATATTGATCTTATCTTGATTTCTTGTGGTTGTTTAACAGAGCATAATTATGTAAAGTAAAAGGCTAGCTATACAAGTGAGCTCTCAAGGCGATCAACCCAAGTGGCTCATCCAATCAGAACTTATCCCGATTTCAAGAGATTATCAGTAGAGTTACATCACTTGGATGGGATACAAGTCCATCACAAGTTAGACCTTAGCATTTCTTCTGACTTGCCGGTACCCAGAGAGAGTACTGGGAGGCGAGAGTATCTAGTCCAGAAACACAACCCTGTAACCCAGCCTGCCAGGTATCTAGCTCGGACCTCTACACCTGGAGTCCACCACGCAAGGGCTGGTCTACGAGTCCCCCTCTACCCCCCCCCCTGATATTCACTAATTGTTTGGTTGTCGTTGTTATCTTTATGTTATTGATTCTGCTTGAGTTGCCGTCAGTAAATGACTTTACAACCGTTGACTCATGTAAGAAATTGATCTTTGATGAGGCTTAAAAATACATCACGATGAGTGTTGACTGCTTCCTGCTCTTCAGGTACAAGGAATTACACAAAATTACAAGAGTCGATTCTTAACATATGTGCATAGTCACGGGCAAAAAGACATAGAAATGTTATCAAGTTGCTTTTAAATATCTTTTTTTTTTTAATTTTGTCAAACTTTAGTATCACATCAGCCTTTAATGTGTGAGCGCAGGTTGCTTGCGATTATGCTAGTTTTGAACGTATAAATAAACCAGCTTGTAAAAGCGAAAAGGTAAGGAAGCCAATTCACAATTTTGCCATTTATAACTGAGCTGTCAAAAATCAAAAACATTTCCCTCATACCCGCTCAATAAACAGAAAGGGATTTACAAAACTCTTTGGTGCAATTTTTCCTGTTTCCTACTAAGCAGTGGTAAAGGAGGACCGCATACGTTCATAACCCAATTTACTTTCTTAGAGTCAGCCTGTTGAAATAACTGTTTTCAAAACTCCAGTTATCAAATTCTCCCAAAATGCTGCAAACATTCGAGATTGCTTTCACTGAGCTGACTCTCAATAAACACGAACAAAATTAAGTCAAAAAATACAAAACTGCGCAAAAAGTCCACAAAGACGAAAACTCAAACAGCTGCGGTTGCTTGAAAGAGCAAGATAAAAACGCATTGAAAATTGGACGGTTTGTGAAGGACTAAGTTCTTTTTTTTTTTTTTTAAGAAATATAGAGTACATACATAGCGAACCCTTTACTCACGACTTTACAAATCCTTAGAACGAATTATTTGTTTTGATGACGCTGAACGATATGACCAATTGGCCGGTTTCTGCTCTTACATGCATGTAATGAAATAAAACTGAGAAACAGTGCCATTATCAATTCAGGGATACCAGGGGCAATTCAAACTCATTCAAGAAACATCTATATCCGCAAGCAACAGACATGGAGGTGTTTTCAACCCTGTATGCTGTTTCAGTTATTTGTTAAACGAAAGGCTCCTTTCATCAATACGATAGTGTTTGTAGGTGCGTTGCTTCTACGCATCTAATGAACCGGCATAAAAAAGCGAAATGCCAAAGAAGCTAGTTTTCATTTTAAATTCTTACAAGCTTTCAAATCTCAGTGCTCAACAATCCAGTAATGTTAGTAATAATCACTTAAGTGCTATCTATTTCTTTTTCACCTTTGATAATAATAATGTGTGAATTCATCGAAACGTCATGTAACCTTTCTCTGTTCAATTTCCTTTTGAAATACTCACCAAAAATCAATCCTAATGATAATGAAAACCACTTTAGTGTTTTCTTCGCTTCATTAAAAGACATTGATTGACGTATCTTTAGCTCAAAAGTTTACAAACCTTTTTTTTTTTTTTTTATTGTGATATTTGATATAATGCAATATAATGGATTAACCCGTTTCTGCTCGAACATGCGTTCAACCAATTATAAGAAATTCTGTCGTCATTCAGGGATACAATGAGCACACCAGAAACATGCATTGCTTCGAGCATAGCCAGAAGCGTCATCGTGTCGGCGTTCTATATCCTCTACAAAGGTCAGAATTTTGTTAAAAGAAAACACCCTTTGCTCAACATGTGGTAAGTTATGTTACTTGCATTTATACTTTAACTAGAATACAACAGCGACATGCCAAGGAACCTATTGAGTTTCAATTTTACAGCCTTCAAGCTGCTAAACTTTACCACTCAAAAACTCAGCAGTTCTGTACTTAATTATCGTTTCGTTGCTTTTTCCTTTTCTTTTTTCTTTTTTAATTAGTAATAGCAATAATGGCATGAAGTCATGAAAACGGCATGTAGTTTCCATTCCGGACCAAAAGAGCGTTTTCTCTTTTTTTTTCGGAAATACACACTCTTTGGCGTGCCTTCAGATATATATTACATAATACATTATATGGCAAGAGTTCCATATAACCCCATACATTAATCATGCATAGAGTGTTGCAAAGAAACCTTTACATTTAGTCTTTATGAAATAATGCGAGGTTAAAGTTAGGCCAGTTTCGGTTCTAAAATTCACTTAATGAAATAAAACGAAAAGAGCCACCGTAAGGTATACAAGTGAAACTTAACCTACGCATACCCCTGAACAACAGTCGAAAAAGTGTCATTAAGTTGCGACTAAATTCCATATCAAATGTTAGAATTTTTCTAAACAAAAGCCTCTTCTGATCGACATGTTAGCAAATGTGCGTATGGCTTGTTATAACAAATGTCCTTTGTACTTCTAGATAAACCAGCTTGTAACAGCCAAATGCCAAACGTCTAATTGCCTTTTTAAAATTCACAAGCAGTTAAATCTTACCGCTAAAAAAAGCCAGCAATTCTGTTGCTCACATCCACTTAATAAACGGCAAAATATTTCGCGATAAAATTTCACTTAACTTGAAGCAATGATTTTTTACCCTTTCGCTGTTAAAAGACTACAGCGAGCGAGATGCCGGATTTAAAAGTATTGAATAAAGGGGTTTGAACTAATATGAGAACTCGATCAAGACTCTCTTTACAAATGAGTACCATCTTTAGAACTTTCCAACACTCAATGAGTCAATCCTCGTACTCACTGAAAAACTGAATTAAGCGCTGCGCACTTTCGAGACAGAAATTCACTAGGTGTACATTAATCACCACGAAAATTCTTATGCTAAAGATGCAGTATTTACCATAGCGCTGTCGGCTTCAAAATTGCTTAAAGCTTAAAATCACACACACACAATTATCATACCCAAATCTTGAAGAAAAACCTGGCAAACTTCACTTCAAAAATATAACTGCTTCAGAGCGTAATGTCGGTACTACTGTCCACTCCTAGTCGTGTCTTCAAAGATCAATTAATTTACCGCTAAATGTTGCACATCTTGTTCTTTTGAAAGGTAATAAGAAGCCAATAGCTGATGTTGAAGGATTTCACGTGACTCAATTGCGTGCTAGGCTAAGAACCCCTAAGGTAAAACACTGAAGTGGGCATTAGATCTTAACCCTTCATTTCGGCCCTCTTCACTTGAAAATCCCAGAAATCAAAGATACCCCATCGACTGTCATTCTGATAGCAACATCAATTTTCCTTCTTGAGGTTAATTCCTGTGGTTTTGAGGGTTCAGTAAAGGTTAATCAGTTTCCTGAATGACGTGTGGAGTGACGTCGTAAATTTAGCCTTAAACAATTTTGCGGGAACTCGAACAAAACGATTTTTCAATTTTTCTTTCAACGAAATCAAATTGATTTTAGAGTTGAAATAGCGTTTAAAATAACCAATCCTTGCACAAATATTTTCGGAATGTTAAGCCTGTCCAATAATTGCGTGACAATAATTGTAAACCAGTGTGATAGTAATGGGCGTTGTTTTCTCAACACTACTGTAGAACCTCGCCAGCTCGAACTCGTGAAGGAAACGAAAAATGGTTGGAATTAGGGGGTGGATTCGAAATCCTAAAGGTAAAGGGAAAATGCTTTAAATTAATGGGCGGTTCGAGTCGACCAGTTCGAGTTAGCGCGGTTCTAGTTTTTTTTTTTTTTTTAGTTGAATATAATGACGGCGATAAAGTGATTGGCCGGGTTCTGTTTTAAAAGATCAAGAAATTGACAAAAGAAATAATTTCTTAGATGCTGAGAATAGTTTACACTTTAGGGATATACATATCTGCGAGCAAAAGACAAATTAGATTTGCTTTTTTTTTTTTTTTTTTTACCCTTACACTGATTTTGCTCTTTTGCATACAAGACATTCCATAAACTTATCTAAGCGATATATAAAAAGTAACTATCGATAGCAAATGCACAGTTGTGCTCCAGATTCTTGTCTCCTACGGGATTCTTTAAGCACTTTCTATCGGTTTAATTACCGGCGTGATAATCCAAGCAGGGTGTTGGGGGAAAACGTGGAGGAAAGTTCATAAATATAGATAACAAAATGGAATACATGTAGACTGCCTGAAGAAATGCGCTCTTCAAAACACGTGCAATCAGAATGGCAATATCGATCCTCATTTCAATTCCTGTGGGTGTACTCGTGAAATGCTTTGTAATTATAACCACTTGAAAGTGGTACGCGTTATTTTTAAGTACATCAGTACCTCACGATACACCGTTAGATCACGTTTTTTTCAAATTCATATAACAAATTGTTTCTAGCTGAGATGCTAATTTAACATCTTGATGCAAATGACTGGCCGGTTTCCGCTTTAACGAAAATGGTCCAAAAATGAAAGAAATGATAAGTAACTCTGTTAACATGCTAGGGTTGTTGTGCGAGGCGATGGATACTTCGAACTGCACAGGACAGATTGACTCGGTAAAAATACTCTTCATCACCTTTTGCAATCGAAATACAATAAACAAACACAACACAGTTTGATTTCGTGTTAAGTTACATAGACCTGTTATGGGAATGAATGTAGCGCTTATACACGGAAATAAAGGTTTTTTCGAAAGGCTTAAATAAACAAAAGTCATAGCAAAAAAGAGGCGGTCAAAAATCAGATGATCATGAACACGTTTTAGCGCTGAACGAATGAATGAATTTGAATGAACTTCTTCTTTATATTGCGCCCTTTCTATACAATATTCAAAGGCGCAGTACCCCCCATCAATTTGATAGAAGCTACACAAAGATAGACCACAACACCGGGCACTACGTGCCCTACTGTTTTCGAACAGTGTGTGGGTTCTTTAACGTCCCACAAATTTTTTTATCACATAGAAGGGCTTGTGAGACGGGACCTCCATTTATCGTCCCTATCCGAGAAGACTAGAAAGTCTAACCATTTGCAGATATTATTATAAAGGCAGCACTTTCTTCTCAGTTATTTAAAGACCCTGAGCGTTGGTCGGCCGGATTTCAACTCACGACCTCCCGCACAACAGTCCGGCGCTCTACCTAAATTGAACTAACCGGGAGGCGCTGAAAACTACTTATGTGACAATGATACCTTATTAAGGTGAAAGATAAATAAAGGAAAAAGAAAGCAAACTTACTTTGTTGGTGAATAGCACCTGGGATAGTTACTGTAGTAAATAGCAAGAAGGGTCTTCACAAAGTAGCGCAGTAATATTTGATCCTGAGATCGCAACGATTGCAGAATAAGTATGAAAATTCACTTGAAAATTCTGAGGGTGTTGCCCAAAACTTATAATCTAGAAAGAATCAATTCCTAAACCGCGAATTTAGCCGTGAGTAGGCATGACACTGCAATTTCTTTCCGCCGGAAAGCGTCATACAATTTTACATTCTTGTACCACGCTTGACCGAAAGAGAAGGGACTATATATCACCATCACCTTTAGGGTAAGGAATATCTGAGAGATTTGGCGGCCAATACTGATTTACTTTACTATTTTGATGTTTTGGCGCTTAACGTTGGTGTTTTTGGCGAGATGAAGTTCAAGAAGTTTTATTCTTTAATGATCAGTGTAACCAATAGAGATGAGGGTTTGTCAAAAGGCACCGACAACATTCTATGCTTTCCTGTTCAATTTCCTCATGACTCGTATTCTGTGGCAAAAATTGTGGAGATTATTTAATTGGAAGAGAATACGATCAAACCACGAGAAGTGTCGAAACGAGTTCTGTGTATTGGCCATTCGAAATAAATGATAACGTCTAGTTTTACGTGATGTGTGGAGGATGCGTACGTGCTTCGATTACCAGTCGCCTTTCAGTTAACTAAAAGCAAGTCTGATCACAGGTAAGACGATATAATGTTTTATGCACCAATTTCAGTTGTTGAATACCAACCAATTCCAGCTGAGCACAATGGTGCGTATGATAACGCGTCTCCAGTAGGCCTTATTCCTTGAAATAGAAGAGCATAGGTGGTATGCATAAATGGCAGGCCCAATCGGTATTCTTTTGTAAAATAGCCCATCATGTAAAATAGCCCATTTAGCCCCATCTTTGAGTTCAGGTTTTATTGTTCCTTAGACATTCTAACGAGGCTAGTTGGGCTGATCAACATGAATACATTAACCAAGCGTGAGGTCAAGATGGCTGGATATTGGCCGAGTTCTTTCCTTGCATTTTTATGGCCGAGACGAAGTCGAGGTCCATAAAAATGCGAAAAAAGAACAAGGCTAACATCCAGCCATCTTGACCGAATAAGTTTGGTTAATAAAGGTTCATTATATTGCAAAAGGATTTCGGTTTATTAAGAATTAAAAATATTTTGTTTATTTCGAGATCCGAGAAAGAAAGCCAACTGTGTTTGTAGCTTAACAAACTCACGAGGGTCGTTTCTGTTTTCTTTCTTTTGACTATCTTCTGCCGCTTCTTGCGTTTCTATCGCCAAAATTGTCCAAGAATTACGAACGCAGTTCTAATTCTATTTTTTTTTTTTCCATGCGCGGGATCAATCCCGAGCGGGCAAGATGGGCCCATCTTGTCTGTTCGGGTAGCCAATCAGAACACAGGATTCGCTTCATCTTGCCCACGGGCGCTGCAAGCGATATAAGAAAAGAGAATATTGATCTAGTCCGCCATTTATGATTGAGCCCATTATGCAGTCGAAACGTAGCGATTTACTTCTGAAGTGACCTCATCCTGAGACAAAGTATGGTCGAATGTCGATTATCCAGACTCGTGGGAACTGGGCTGAATAGTACAGATAATCGAGAGTACGGATAATCGAAAATATGACTGTTAATGTTCCCAGGTAAGGGGACCACAATAGCTAGTCCGGATAATCGAAAAATCCGGATAATCGAGGTTTGCCTGTACTACACTTCAGCATCAAGTGCATTTGCCATAATGAATCATGGTAGCCTTTACGATTTAGTTTTATGTTTCGAATATTTTTTAAATTTAAAATTTATCACAAGTTCGAGCAGATGGAATTGTCATTATAGATCAAACAATTTGATTGGTTGAATAAGACACTGATTATGTCAAAATGTCAAAAAGCATTAAAGTCCACTAAAAGAGTTCAGCTGGTTCTGATTGAACGCCTGTGCTTTCGCCGAGATGTTCTTGTATAGTTAATTAGTCTAAAAACAGGATCTGAAAGCGAATCCGCTCGAACTGTGGCTCACGAAAACTTCACGTTATCAAGATGACAAATAGAAAAAGAGTTACAGAATTCACGTGGTGGCACTTAATAAACTGCTGCTCTGTGTTTTATGAATGAACAAGAGTCAAATTCACAGCGACAGAGAGAATGCTAGAGGTGACACCGCCAGAAAAACTCGGCTGCTGTCTGTTTGGAGTGTAAGAGAAAAGTCCACCTCTTTGAATTCGAAATGCAAAAGTCTTTTCTCGATGCTGACTTAGATCCATCTCGAGACAATAACCCCCCTCCCCCTCGTTTTAAAAAATAGATAAATAAATTAAGATATATTTTTAAAACCATGAGATAAAGTTCCGTAAATTACAATCTCAAATGTCCTCCGAAAGCCTGCTACCTTCGAAAGAGTGCATAAAGACTTAACATCAAAATTGATGAGGTAATGAATGACGTTTCCACCATGATAGATCTCGTTTATTTCTCCTTTTTCTAGGGAACATCTCGTAGGAAAAAGTGATGTTGCCAATGAGAAAATAATCTCGACAGCATTTGAAAACTTGGATTCCTTAATACAATTTAATTGTGAATCAAATATTCTCCCACATTCCATTGCTATAGAGTCTAAAAGAGCCTTTCCAGACTTAATAACCATCAAAAGGTTTCCGTGACGATAGGCTTAATCGTGAAAATACCAGGCTGATAAACATCTAAATTCCCAAACTGGAGACTAAATAGAACTTACCGTCTTGTCACTGTTTACTTATTCGAAAAAAAGTCTTCAAAACTCCATAATTCAGTGCATGTGGACTTCTGTCGCGAAAACTTGTTCCTCTTGCAACTTTGAAAACTCTAGAATTTCTCAATCGGTGGCTATTTTTCATAAGTTTTACAAGTTTGCCTCTTTCAAATAGCCATATTCTTTTCGCAAGCTGTTGGCGTAATAGTTAATTAATGACGCCGATGACAGATATGTAATCGAAAGTGTTTGGATATTTATTGAACTCGGAATGTAAAACTGCCCCATGATTTGCACCAACGCATGTGACGTAATGACTTTATCAGTGGTCCAACCAACAGGGAACTGATGAAAATTGAACCACAGGCTCCCCACGCAAGAGATATGAGCTAAAGTAACTAAGCTATTCATCATCAATATTATTACGCAACGTACGAATCGATTGTGTGGCAAATGCACCTTGAAGCTCAAGATGTGTCTACATGTCTTTCCATGTACAGCTAGATATCAATCGGCTTTCATCTAAACAAAAACATTTACCATAGGCGTAGGCGGTCGTTCATTAAGATCTGAATTTCGCTTAACGGTATGGCTATCAAATAACTTATTTGACGAAAGATAATGTCGTCATGAGCGTGAACTGCCTGTGAAGAAAGCAGGCCCTATTTTGCGTCGGACTTTAGTGCATTTCTGTATATAATGATGTTGCTTTCTTGCCTGCAAATGGGAAGGGGTTGCGATTCGAAACCGTTAACAAGGACATGACAGTGGATTTAAGAACTTGAGGAGGAGTATAATGAGAAATATAACGAAAAATAACTCACATTAGAGACGGCAGGTGGAAAAATTCAAGCCATAATCTTAAAAGAAGGAAATACGATTAGAGAGGTTAATTTTGGTAGACCTACACAGACTCTTTCGTGGTTTTGTGGTCACAGCGCATTAGACTTCAAAGTATCGTTTTAATAAGCATGACTACAAGCTAATCCCAAGCTCTGACGTTATATCTGTATTCTTAAGCAGCACTCGGTTTTTTACATGGAAGATATTCTTTCTGAATGAGAGAAAAGGGCCTCTAACTTCGACCAGAATCGGACTTAATGATAAGCTGATAAAAACTATCGACATAAAGGAATTGAGGGAACATTTTGCCAGGTGAAGATGGAGAGATCAAATCACCCTGTTGGGACATTTTTAAGAGATTAACAACAACTTTTGGTCGTGAAAACGATATTAAAACTGCCTGTGGTAAAAATCTGGTATCAATTCTCGAAAGTAGGGCAATCATGTCCCTAAAAATACGATCAAACTCCGGAGAACTGAGACATTAATAGAACTTTTTTTCAAAATTATTAATGCAGCTTTATTTTGACTTTGGTGATAAGCAGGATAGCTACTTAGTTGACGGTTACAATGTCACGGTCAACTTTTAGTGGCTGGGCTTCGATACTGCACCTTCAAGCAAGACCCATCGACAACCATCACGACGTGCAATTTTGAGCCCTAAATTTTCCCTAAGACAATTCCTTTTTGGTCGGAATAAAGTTTTTATTATTAGCCTTGGATCCAAAAGTTAATGGCGCTGGCGTCAAGTCTAGGGCATCTTTTCTTACATTTCTACCATACAAATGAAAACGCCGTTAAGTAAATGTTTGAAACTTATGAACTTGAACAAATAATAAGTTGTAAGCTTACTCTATCGCGGATTATAAAATACACTCGAACTTACCTGTATGCAATGAAGAATGGTATGTTTTGTCGACTCACCTTTAGTAAACTCACCCACAAATGACGAGCAAAATCGTTTTAAACATGAAGCGAACTTACCTTATATTTCAACAGTGAAAACGTGAAGCTATGGTAAATCGTCAACCAGATCAGAAAATAAAAGAGTTAGCGCCGGTAAACGAAACACCGCGGAAGATCAGAGTCACTTTTTGAACAAATCAAGGAGGCGCTCGTTTCTTAAGTACAAGGCTACTGTAATTGTTCTCGCGACACTTGAAATGTGTTGAAATTTTCACAAGAGCGTGGGTCATAACTATAAATTAGTAAGCATTAGTTTTTTCCGTTACAATTATATCGCCACCGGTAGACTAATTTTAATTAGAATAAAAATAAAGGAAAGCGTCTCTAAAACCAGCCGGTTCAACGGCAGATGAGTTTTTCATTTCTTTTCCTTTCAAAACACATTGCTGTCCCATTGAGTTTGTTTACATAACATAATAATTGCAGCCACATCTCGTTTTGACTTCGTGTTTTTTTTCAGTCCTTTTAGGCGTTATCTATTTCATGCGAACGAGTTATGCCACCACAGTTTTATCAAACTATCTATGAATATTTTTAAGAGCCTAAGCTTTTAATCTATAGTGGAAAATCGCTTTTAAAAATTTTTATTCTATATATAAGTTGTGGTGAATGCGCCCCCATAAATTACCTGAAAGCATTTAGACTAATTTTCAAATATTTTTGTTATCATACAGATTGTAGCTATTTGAAAGTCCTTATTCCTCTAGATGCACGTGTTATAGTACAAAAGACTATTTAAATGTTATGTTTGTGTTTCTTTTTTATATAGTACTAAAGACTATTTAAATGTTATGTTTGCTTTCTTTTTTATTTCGTCACAGGGGTTTGAGTCTCATGCAAAATTTTTCTGTTTATGAAAAAGCCCTAGGTAACTTAGGTACAGTAGTAAGGTATGGTTTTACGGTTACTACGACGCTGTTGTCAGGCATAGAAACTGGTGAATACAGAAAAGGAGAGTGAAGCAAAATAATTTTTCCGTCTCCTTTGCTTTGTAAAATAATTCAAACAATTTCCTCTCCCGTTTCATGGTAAGCGTGAGCACGCTATAAATGAAAGACAACCAGAAAGCTGTCCGTCTTTTATGCTTCTTTGTTGTTAGGTTGAAAGCATTTCGTTTCTCTCGCAAGATAAAGGTGCGTCAGTCCGATTCAGTATGTCCCCATTTCCATGATTGTCGCAAAACTGATTCATGATTATCGGAGAAAAAATTTGAATAAATTCAGTCAAGGCAATTTGCGCAAATTACTACTAACCGCAATAACAGGAAGTTCTAGGTTCTAGGTTCGAATGGAGGAGTTAAAAGCGCGCGCTACGTAACCATAGCCCGACCAATATGGGCACAAGTTCTGAAAAAAAAAAAAAAAAAAAAAAAAAAAAAAAAAGAATGAATTCTAGGATACGCAACTTTCGTTTTTCCTGTTCCCCATCCTTTTCAGTTTTTTTTTCTGTAAATTTTAGTGAATTTTGAGCCTTTCTTCTTTAACGCAGCCAATTGAAAGTTAAGTCATTTTACGTTACGGAAATTCGGTGGTTAAAGTAAAAGCAATGTGCCTAAGTTTCCCATCCGGAAAGTGCGGAGGATTTTAACCGTCTGACTTAAAATATTGAGACGACCCAGAGAAACAAATTCTCTTCTCAACGCTTAAGTTTCCTCTCAGCTGATTCATATTAGGCTAGATAGCGTAGCACAGTGTTTGCTATGGTTTCCAGCAGTTACTTTGATGATAATATCCTTAAATTTGCAATTGAAGCATGGGCCTCCCTATGCAGTAATTGAGTCTTAAAACCCCGGAATAAAAGAGTTTCTCCACTTGTTTGGTATCCCTCCTATTCTAAGGTAAATACAGTAAAGGGTTTGTTGGATCCCAGTTCTACTCTTGCCCGAGTAAGACCCAAGTACAGTGGTCGGGTCAAGTCGAGGATGGAAACTTGTCAGTGATGGATTATGAACTATTAACTATTAAGGTGCAACTGAGAGGATGTATCCTTTCTTCATCGCACCCAACCGTTACTGAGGGGCCATGCGCAAGCTAATTCTCAAAACGTAAGAAGTTTCAGTACTCAAAAGCTAAAACTACTAACAAGACTTAGGTTACTACTCACTTTATTTTGATCATTTGACTAGCTAGGACAAAAAGAAATCGGATGTTATTTTGTGAAAAAAAAAAAAAAAAACATTAACCGAACTTTAACACTTCGACCTACCTCTTCCCATCAAACAAAATTTTATTAATTTGGATTGAATTTCTTTCTGTGATTTGATCAGGAGAACCGTTTTATTTACATATATATCCGTGAATACAATTTCATACGAGGGGACTTCTGAAAACTACGTCATTCAGTTATTAAATTCGCTTTTCAACCCACGTCGAAAAGGTTGCAAATTTTTGGGATCATAAGAATCGTTAAGACGATTTCGCTGCCTTCCTCTTACACCAGAAGCTACGAGGACAATCGCTTTTCTCGGTTTCTGATTGGATAACGCTTCTCTTCTTTTTACACCAGTATCCAGGAGGGCAGGCCGAGTCATTTTCTTGCTCCGTTTGGGAGCACGTGAAATCGCGTGGGCAGCTTCGGCTGGACAAAAGATCGATCGACCGCTTCTTGCGGCACCAGTATCCCGGCGGACAGGAGGCCAAGGAGTCAATGGAGCGAGACTGACTGATCTCATCTCTGCTTACCTTGCACCAATATCTACAAAAATATTACAAAACGCAAAAATGTTACAAGACGTTGACTGAGTATACAGGATCAAACGAGAGGAAAGGCCAACAGGAGAGCGTGGCCTCTCTCTCCTCTCCATCCATGTTCGCAGAAATGGCTTTAAGAGACAGTCTGCTGGGGTGGTGGCAACAAACTGCTCCTCAAAAAGTGTTTCAAAATGCGCTATAATGCATAAGTGCGTTTTTCTATCTTCAAAATTTTCCTCGGAGTATCGTCCCTCGGACTTTTCCACGCGAAAAAAACAAGTGGCCTTTTAAAGAACACCACCAACTGGTGCAATCTTTGTGCCTTTCGCATTCAAACGTCTTTTAGCGGACCTGGTATAGTTAACAAATTTAGTGCCATACTTGGATAAAAAGTCAATAACGTATGATTTTTTTCTCTTCATAGCCTTCTCTTGGGACATTTTTACACTCAAGCACGAAATTTATCCAAAGAAAAATGTTTAAGACGGAAGAGTATCCCTTCGAGCAACAGAAATTATCGGTGTGCATGTGACTTCACAACGACCATCAATCTATCATAAAGTACACAGCAGGGGAAAATAATAAATTTATCAAGAAGTGGACACATTTTTACCGTAAAAGCAAATTTTCAGTAGAGAAAGCTTCTGAATTACGATACAATCAGTTTGAGTTGCGATAAGAAAACTAAATGCTTGCTCTAGCTATAAAGTGGATGTGAATTTCTTCGAAAAGTGTATCCGAGTGAAAAGTGAAGAATTTCAAATCCATTCCAAAGTCTGCTGACCATAGGCTCCTTTCATTCTACTTGTGGATTTTTAAAAATGGGATTCCGGCCTTTATCTAAACTTCTCGTACTTACTCGGCTGCGCAGTTCTTTGGATCAGTAGGTTGATCGAGAACCAATTCGCTTCTTCTGCACCAGTATCCTGGAGGACACAGGCCGAGGGTGCTTCGTGTAGATCGGCAAATAAATCCTCTGGGACATTCGCCCATATCGAACTCCCGCTTTTTCTTGCACCAATAACCCGGTGGACATGCTGACGAATAATCGTCTTGTAGTTCTGTGGTCTTTTCGGCTGCAAAGCTGGGTGTAAACTCCACGAAAATACCCAACAGAAGGGCTAAATATGTAATTTGTTGCCACATTCCTGTTGAGAAAAAAGGAAGCGATGAAAATATGTCGTTTTTTTTTCGCTACCGTTAAGTTGCTGGTGCTGCTGCTTGCCTGCACAGGAGCTTGCTCTTAAGATTATTAACCAACATGGTCTCTCCATTTATACTTCATACTTTTTTATTCATCCGGTTGTTTTGTTTTTTGTTTTTGTTTCTGTTTTTTTTTTTTTTGCTGTTTCCCTTCTGAATTTTAGACTAGCATGGAAATTAAACTGGTAATGAAAGCCTTCGGTCCATCAATAAAAATTTAATCCCATTACCCCCAGACATCAACTTGCGTATTCTCCATACTGTTCTCTAAACACTTCCTATATTACTGTTAAGGGTAATTGTTTTGACAATCGAAAGCTTCTTTAGCTAATAATCATCTCTCCTATTCTCCTGACCTTAATGTTTGATTCAGCAGTGATACTGTAAAAGAGAAATTAGATGCTGGTCAGAATTTGAGGTTAAAGGGTTAATCTTTTCCTTCTCTGGTTATTCTGTGTCCTTGTGTTTGTTTATTCTTCCCTTTCGCGTCTTTTCTAGCATTCCATGATTATACATTGTGTTCTTTTCTAATTGGCTGATGTCTTTTTCCGGTACCAAAAGCGCTTGAACCTAAGAACCTAGACCTGTCCAATCCGGTATCAAGTCTCACAGAGTTTTTCACCTCCCCTCTCCTGGTAGAAAAAAAGTCACACTAGCCACACAACTAACTCTTCCCAAACTCTTCTCCAAGAGATTCGTACTTAATGCTTTAAACGTACAATTTTTCCAAAAATCATCAATTTCTAATTGCACGGAATGCCACTTTCGCTTCCTCTGTTGCTTTAGTGAGAGCTGAAGGTGATTTCCGTACTCTTTATTAAATGTTTACAGAGAATGCTGTTTATGATATGATCAAAGATATACTAAGCAAACAAATTATCTGAAAAATTTCCTCGTGTCTCCCCTGAATCCGACTCGCCATGTAATTTCGTTTTCGTTTAATTTTTAACGTCGACTTCATTTTCATTTCATTTTTTTTTTTTTTTATCTTTTTTGAAATAGTGAAATTTCGTTGCGATTTTCGTGTACACGTTCAAAAATAGTTGGTGCATTCTACCTAAGAAGAAATTCACCTTTCCCTCACGTCCTTGAATTTTGCATACTGTTGAAATTATTTTCCTAGATAATGGATTATTTTGAATCGCGTCAAAGGAAAATGATTCTCAACTGATAGGAGAGCCAAATCAGTTTGGATTTGAAAAAAAAAGTTCATGTTAGATTTCCAAACAAATGTCCTTTGAGTCTTATTCGTGCAGAGGAAAAACTAATGATACAGTCATATTTTTCAGTATTCGACAGTTCCTTTACATTCCCTAAACAGTGAATAAACAGCTGAAACAAGAAAGAACAGATCTATTTACTTAAGAATAACATCTTTTGTTCCATTTCGTATTTTCCTGGCGAATTGTCTAGCACTCTCATCAGAAATCTTTATCTAAACCTCATTGGAACAAGAACCTACCCTATTACGTTGTTCTCTTCTGAAGAATTCCTCAGTAAAAGCCAGTTTGTCTTTTTCTAGTTACTCTCTTAGCAGCAAAATATTGTCTCAAGGGTGTGTGAAACAAAGCGAAACTGAAATTTAATAATGAATCAGATTATGAGGGCAAACTATACCTCTCATGGCCCGTTAAAACAGAAAATTTTCCTACAAATCATCGTTGAATTCGCGCGAGTTTATCGCACACGTCAACTCAGATTATTTAAAGGAAGTTGAAAAATGCAGAATTGATTTGTATGCACAGAAATCTCCAAAAGACAAATTGTGAGGGCAGATTAAATAGGTTTAATTAAACAGGCTAAACATGATGCTGTAAGCGTTTATCAAGATACCTAGTTGAAAACCTACTTTTTACGCGTGTAAGAAAGAAAAGAAATTTCCTCTTTTTATTTAAATGTATAGATCAACGAACATTGTTTAGGGATAAAAAGGCATTTTTCTCAAAGGATATTCAATTAATGTGGAGGCATTGCTAGTGAAATTATTTTTTTCAGTTCAGTTGACTCTACACTGAGCACTAGAAAAGAAACAATAGATATAACTTCTTGTCGAACTTTAACGGTCGTTTATCTCTAGCCCTTGGTTACAAATAGATATATTTTTTGATAATTTAGCTTTGCAATTGATCTTCTGCAAATCTTTAAGAAAGAGAAAGCACTGAGATTTCGGAAAATTACACAGTAGTTATACTGAACTTATATTTTTAAATTATAAAATTATACTGAACATATATTTTTAAAACAACAGTTTTCAATAAAAAAGTAGAGTTTCTTTTGTATCACTTTCTATTGGATTTATTGTTACTGAGCCAAATAAATAAAGCTAGTGTGCGCCTTAGCATGCCTATCAAAAGCATTTTCACATCAGTGAAAGTACAAAAAAGCTCAAACTCTTTCGCAGAGAGGCCAGCGTTTAAGAAATTTCCCACAGCTTTTCACAAAAAGGATAGCCGCAATAAAAATTGAACATCATTCAAATTTGCAAGTTGTACTCCCTCGCGGTTTCACAAAGAGAAAAAAAATAGAGGCTAATTTTCCATTTAAAATCTTAACCATGACAAACAGCCACAACAGGAAAAATACACCCAGTCGAAAACCGAAATAAAACTAGACCTGTTAAGAATTAAAGCAGGGAAGATTTTTGCTCACCTTTATAAACAATAGGGAAATTCTGTACTGTGTCCCAAGACTGGCAGTACTTTTGATCTATAAGGTTGGCCTTGAAACTGAACACATCGCTTTATAGTCCCAAGGCTAATTGTGGGTGTTTTAATGAAGTGTTTATCTTCGTCAATGATAGGATATCCGAAGCTAATCTAGACACGCAGATCGAATGTTTGAATTGGGTAATTTGTTATTGAACCTCGAATCCGCATCCTCTTGAACGTGATACAATACTAAAGTCTGAGTAAACATTTAGCCAGGCAAAGATCGCTTTTAATTAGCGCGTGGTACGATATTTCCGGAACTCGAACTAACAAAGAGCAGAAATACTCTTTAATTCATTCCAACCATCATTTTAACTCTAAATCACTCGTGAAAATGAGATTTGTTATCTCGGCTTAATGCGGTCGGTTTAAACCTCAATACCTCTATTGCCATTTTCCCAATACAAAGGGTGATCACGTTGAATCCATTCTATTCATTTATAGAACGTTGGCATTCTAACAACGAAAATAAATCCGTTCAATTTAAGGAGGGAAGCAATCGTTGAAATGATATTGAAAAAGCCATTACCTTGTTTTAACAAGAATAATTGGCTTTTCTATTCATGATTGTCTGAATGCAGCAAAGAAAAAAAAACAGCTAAACCATGTATTAGGCCAATCTCCCTGAAAATCTATTTTCCTGGTATAAAGCAACTACATTCACTCCTCCTACATTTCAAAAAACACTCGGCGATTTCTAGAGATAATTTCTTAAACAAAGTTAGCAGTAAGAGGTGTTTCGAACAGATTTTCTCGATCAACATTTGGGAAAATCTTCCAGCGTGAGAGAAGGTGTCTCGCAATTTTTTTTTTCCAAATTTCGTTCTTACAAAAGAGGATACCCAGGTCGATTAGCCATTGTTGTAAAGGTAATCACATTCTAGTCTGATAATGCGATAGAATAGAATTTTAAATAGAGATTTATCCCAAGCCAACAATGGTATTAAAAGCATTTTTGATTGAGAAATGCGCCGTTTTATCTCCTGAAAAACAATGAAAACCCATATAATGTTCATTGGTAATTTCAAATTTTATTTTATCTTCATTATCGTTGTATCACAACGTCTTTTTGTGGCCTTGTGGAAAAGGAACAAACCCACAGTTGATCTTTTTTTTTCCTTTAAAATTTTTGAAAGTACATTGATATTAGAGCAGATAACGTTACTATAACCGACCATGTCATTGAGACGCCCTTGCGTTTCTCATTTTTTTTTAGGTAAGCTTTGAAAAATCCTAATTGGATACCAAGGAGATTTTAGTTTGCAGCCAACACTTATTTTTCAAAATGACTCACGCAACAACATGAATAGGAGCAGAAGTATCAGCTGAAATTAATCGAAAGAACACCAATTAACGGATAATATTTAAGTTACGGAATTACACCAAATACAGCTCAAATTCGAAGCATCGTAACAGATTAGGTTAGTCCAAAATTCTTCGAGGAAAGTGACATAAATCTTATAAACTGAAAATTAAATCATTTAGTGAACAATTTAGCAGACTTTTGTTTAGAGAAAGTGATTTCTCCACGATAATTGGTTTTAGTTATTGAAACACTCGAGACAAAAGGTAATTTTCTTAAACTTATTTACAACTAACACACTGTTAAAATGTTCATCCAAGCTTTTCAGAGAGGCTATTGGCAAATTTCTTTTTCGTTGGTTTCGGAGAAATGTGTATGCCAGCAAGATTAAGGCTAACTGTGTCGCTTACTAAGTTTGAATTTAAAAGCAGACTGGCGCCGCAAAAATTGTGGTTTTCGGAAAGGAGACGAAACCGATTCACATCGTATCTATGACTTTGTAAAGATAACTTTATACAACATGATACACCGTGTTCGATAGAAAAATCCAGAAGTCTAGTTTCCATTCGATTTCTCACAACCCTTTTTGAACAAAACAGCCTGGAACTAGGTTTGGACCAAAATTTATTATCGGTAACAAATCGCGGAAACAAGGTTGATTGCTGATGAAAAAAGATCGAAAACAAATCCCTTTTCATCAAAATACCTATTAAATCTGTCGTTTTTAGTGACCATCATGAATTTCAGGACATCCAACGGAAATAAAAACGTTGGCGTTCTTGACATTTTAACTGTCGGAAGGAGTTGGTAGAACGGCAAATATGAGGTGGTACACACTTAAAAAAAAAATGGCAGAAGTACAATGCATCATCAGGTTTTACTCTTTATTTCTCAAAGAGCTGACTACTTATTTTGATTGAACAGTGTGTGCGAAACAATTAGATAATATACACGCCCCCCTTCTCGCGATTTCGGAAATTACTTAGTAAAAAGTACTTTTGCGAGCGCAACGATGACGCTATTCTTACTCATTTCTGTCAAAAAAGAGAATTTATTTTGAACATTATCTCAGATTGTACTGACTGAGGAACATAGCACCTGCGTCGCATAAGTTTGGCTTGGCAGAATATTCAATCTTGCGATATCGTTTCGGCAAAATAACGTACCATAGGACTCTTTTTGGATAACTTCCTACCTATGCATCGTCACAAATTGAATACAAACACGTTAGACATGGCTTCAAAGAGGTTGAATGCCAACGAACCACGCAAGAGAAATTTTAGAAAAAAAAAAATTAGTAAGGGTATGCGCTAGCCAACTCGGCGGGGTCCCACCATATTTTAAAATGAAACGCCTCACCGCCTCTCGGCGTAATTCAGGGTCAGTAATGCACGTTGTTAGAATTGACAACAACACTATGTGGTCTCATTACGCAATACATACATTTCACAATTTTATTAACACTTAATGAGATAGATAAATATTTACCGAGATCACCCTTGATCCACCACATTTTATTCAAAGGATTTGACAAAACGGGCTTCGTGGATCGAAAATCGATTTAAACCGTAAGGCTAATGTTGTGTGAAAGTTATGCTAGAACAACCTTTCAATACCTTAGTCTCCTTCAGATTGGTCACTCTTCTCTGCTGATTTTCTTTTTTGTCTTCTCCTCGTTGAATTGAACTGATTAACCCGCGCAGCATGTGAAACTGTATCGCCGATCTAAAACCTATCGTTCGCGGAAATCTGAAGACGGGTGATATGATCTGCGAAGGAGGATGATGAAGGCAGCAAACATTTGCCGCGCTTTTCCTGTTCCCTGCTTTTGTCAGCTTTGCGCAACCCTTAAGAGAGATGTCGAAGACGGCCTCAAAGGGTTGGAAAATCACACAGGAAAAGATGTTCACTGAACTTCAGTTTGAGCATAATTGACACCTTTCTTGTCAGGACTTCGTAGATGGCGCGGTGACATCAGTCATGCCGCAGCAGGCGATTGTTAAATGCTTGTGTAAACAGGAGTTTCATTTGTCGTTTCTCGCTTATTGGCCAAAAATCTGGCGATGATAACTTCTTCACCAAGTGTAGGGTGATAATGATGACCGCTTACCTAAAAAACCGTTGGGAAAATTCATCATTGACACTTTATCCTTTCCTGCCTCCACAGAATAGTGCAGGAATAAATACTATCGATCTAGATCGAAATAAGACTTTTCCTTTGAATAGGTCGGATAGATATTATGCAATTAAATTTAATGGCTAAAACTCGAGACCGTATTAAAATTTGGAATTTGTATCTAACAAAATTCGCGCCAATACATATAACTGCAGACAGTACTGTTGCGGCTTTCTTGACCTCATTAGTGCAGTGCTGATTCTAGGATGGGGGTAGAGCTATAAAGCCACCCCAAATGATTCCACATTTGTGGCACCATTTAAGCCATGCCAGAGTGCTCAAACTAGAAACTAGTGAGCTTCGCACAATTGCTCGACATGACTCATCCTAGCAGAGTGCTCGATTTGGACATAAAATCAAAGTTTTGTAATGCCAAAGAACATATCGCCCACTCATCAGGGGATCCCCTGATGAGTGGGCGACCACGAAACAGGCTTGTAGGGATGAACTTGTAGTTTACTTGTCTTTTTCCTCCCACAATATATACTTCGCTCTACTTCTATGTATTGAGCACTGTTCTACGAAAATCAAGTCACACTTTATATATATAGGAGAAGTAGTGTGGCACACGAGGACGGACAACTTCGAGCGAAGGAAGACATATACTCAATAAAAAATCTAAAAAGTTTAATAAAAAACGTTTCGGTCCGAGACCCTCATCAGTTCTTTTAAGGTCTCGAACGTAGAAAGTTTAAAATCTGTAATTACGTAATCATTAGCACTTCGATCCTATTTAATGCTCTCTTTTTTATTTCAAAAGTTGTAAATAACTGAAGGTCTCTGACCGAAAGGTTTTTTATTAAAAAATTTTTTTATATTTTTTACGTCAGAAGTTGTCCATCCCCGCAATTTTTTAAACTTTCTACGTTCGTGTTGGCTGTGAGGTTTGGACTGCGAATCTTTATTGATCTTCCTGGCGCGGTGCACCTTTGTTGGCCTGAGAGTTCCATTAACGACTAAATATATATATATATATATATTTGCTTTTTTTTTTACGCGCTGTGCCTGTTTCTCTACCTAACTGGTATCGTCGGTTCATAAAGTATAATTTGCGGAAAGCGGCTTATAATTACAAATGTGAGTCGTCACTTTATCAATAATGCGGCAATACCGAAAAAAGCCTCCTAAAAAATAAAAAGGCTCGTTGGGAATATGGCCATTGTAGAGAATATTAAAAAGTTCTCGCATCCTGGAAAATTAATGAACTTCAAGGTTCTTCTTCTCAAGTTCCAAAAGCAGTCCAGCTTTCCAGTTGTCTAGTGACAGCACGAGAATTCTATATAGTGGACAAAATTTTTTAAGGAAAAGCGGAATACGAATTTTTTCAGTCTTTGTGTCTTTCAGCGCAAAGCACCGTTGAGATGAAAAGATTATTTCATACCTACACCCAGTAGCACAGGGGAAAGTTTTATTTCCACCTGCCTTAAAAGGACTTCCTTAAGGCGTTTGATGTGCAACCTCGTTCCCAGGGTCTCTCATCCTCCCGCCCCCTGGAGCGAGCTCCAGGGGGCAGGATGATGAGAGACCCTGGAAACGAGGTTGTTTCATTTGAAAATAGTTACCACTGTGATGATGGTTTTTCTATAGTTTCATCCGTATCTTAAAATGCCAAGGAGTTTTAATTGCAGAGGTTAGGCTTGTATAAAAGTTTTCTTTTCTGCAACAAGCTCTGGATCATCATGGAGAATATTTGTTTACACAAAAAAATGATTTCGTTTTCACATACAACACACTTTGGCCACATCCGTTAACTGAAAACCTTAACGATGTCATTTCGTAGATTAGTTCCACATGTACATATCACTAAGACCACTCAATTATTATTCATCTCTATTTACAGAAGCTATATATTCGGTACAGAAAATAAAAGGTGGCATTGTTTTAGTTGTACAATTCACTACATCTCTACAATAGGCATCGTTAAAAAGCTGAATCAAAATTTTCTCAATCTTCAAAAAATAAAGAAGGCGAAACCGTCAATATGGCAATTCTTTTAGTTGGATTTGTTTCTCAGCGCTGTTCCCATGATTCTCATGGGGTGCACTCTATCGGTGGTCGGTCTCTCAAGGGCTTCTTTGAGCTTTCTCTGATATTCAGCTTCAGCTTCCTGTATCAAGTAAAATAAACAATAGTCAACCTTCTCTGATCTTGTCTCCTTCCGGCGTTTCATGACACTCTTATAACTTCCCCACAGATGTTGACTTATTGCGAAACAATTTAGACCTCTACTTTTATTTCACTGTCATATTGGTTGTCTAAATGTGGGACGCATCTCCATGACAATGGACAGCTACATGTTACAATTTGCATGTCAGCTACAATTTGCATGTCACTTCCCAAGAAGTATAAAACTAAGAATGAATCCACTGTACACATAATCCAAGCCATCGCAGTATCACTGTCAACAGATACATCATTCATTTTGTGTGTTGTTTTCCTTCACTATTTGGTCAAAAATTTCAGAATCAAGATTTAATGCTTAATTCAGCGAATATTCCAGGTGCCCTTGTTCTCGTGATGTTATTTCACTTGAATCTGATGAGAACTTTCCGCTCCGCCTGTCGAAACGTCACTGAACGTCATGACAACAATCATGTTGAGGACTTCTTACACCTGCACATGATCTCCCTCCTGTATCTCGTTAATTACTAACCTGTCCCATTCTGAATTCCCTTTCTTCCTCTTCCATTTGTTTATCCTTGACTCTGCGTTGATAGTCAATTTGCATGTCAAGGTCCCGTTGATAACCAATATTTCTGTTCTTTATTCTCTCTTGATTCTCTGCTTCTAATCGCTTGTGCTCTTCAATCGCTGCTAAGAGTGCATCCCTTTCGGCTTTTTCAGCTTCTTGTTCCTCTTCAGCAAGTCGTTCTAAAAAAACAAGAAGTTATGAGTGAGATTTTTTGAAAAACGTTTCTTAAATGATTCTTCCAAACTAAGTCATGCATCATTTGAAATGTGTTTCAAAGAACAGATCGTTTTAAAGAAGTTTTTCAAGTTCATCTGTTGCAATTTGTTTTTGAGTTCATTCTTTGTCCTTTTATTTTTTCGTCTAACTACTTATTGCCTCTTTTCTGTTCTCCTGTTTCACCGAACTAGTAAATTGCAGTCTCGTTCAAGTTAAAAAAAGTCTCGTACTTCACAAAAATACCGCATAACGCAGTGGGGTTTCTCCTCAAAAACTGGTTCTCACGACCTTAGAACTTAAAGATCAGGTACTACTTTGTATAAAAACCCCACACCTAGAGCACGTTACCCAGATCAGTGCTATAACACTAATCTACAGGACTTCTATACTACCAGCGAGCTACATGTAGCCCAACTATATGATAATGATGATAGCCTTACGTATATTTTTGTACTTCATGTGCCACTAGTAGCTACTAACGCTAAATGTACAACAATCTCCTCTTGATTTTCCAACTTACTTCTCTCTTCAATCTGTTGTTCCCTAGATTTCATGACATTTGCCAAGAGTTTCTGGCGGGCATCTCTCTCCATTTTGTACTGCTTGATAGTTTGTGCCCATTTCTTTTCTACTTCCTCATTTACGATGCGCTCCAGCTCCTTCTCTCTGTCCTCCTCCTCTTTACGGTTCATTGCACAATACTGCATGAAACGTAAATTCCCTTCACGCATTTCACGCTGTTCAAAATAAAACCAATAGAAAAGCTCAAAACATTGCTCAAGTTAACAATCAATATCATGATTTTGTAAAAACAGCAGGATCAGTACCCAAAATAACACCAGTAGAAAAGCTCAAAACTTTGCTCAAGTTAACAATCAATATCATGTTTTTGTAAAAACAGTGGGATCAGAACACAAAATAAAACCAGTAGAAAAGCTCAAAACTTCGCCCAAGTTAACAATCAATATCATTATTTTGTCAAAACAGTAGGATCAGTTACCTAGTTTAAAATATCTTAAAGCAGGCCTACACTGTATGTGTGAAAAGATGGGATGTACAAGTAACCTGTCAGTCATATCCTAGTTTTCATGTACATGTAAGTAATCAAAACTATTACAAAATTCTTGACCGTCACTGCTAATCACCAGCCCCGATTTGAGCTTCACTGGGAGGAGGCTGCTTAATTCAATGAATAAGCATCACTGTGTGTGCTCACCTTTCTCTGTGTTTCTTCTTTCACTTCATTTCTTGTATCATCCAAAAGTTTTTCTAATATTTTCATGTCCAGTGCTAGTTCTTCTTGCTTCTCTTTGGCCTTAAGAAAACAAGTGGAAAACAAAAATAAATACGATACAATGAATATATGAGGTTTTTATATTTAAATAAACAGCTTACAATAAGCAGGGGCAACAATGAAACAACAATGAAAACCATTTCCTTCAAAAAATTATCTACACTGAGCTTTACAGTAAAGTTTAGAAAGAAGTTGATTCACATGCAAATACCAGACGAAGGATACCAATTACTGAATAAATACAGTTCAATTTTTTAAGCTATTATATGATTTAGTTGTACTTACAGTGCATTACTAATTATAAGATTGTAAAACACATAGTAACATTTACAAAGAATGATGTACATGTTTGTGTATGTGAACAAACCTCTTTCTCATTCTTGAGTCTGATGGACACCTCTCTTGACCTTTTTGCTGCCTTCTGCTTGCGAAGCTTCTCTTCCTGTAGCCATTTTTCCTCCTCTGCTCTAAGCTTAGCTTCTTCCTTCAACCACTGTGCCTCCATCTCCTTCAGTTTCTCTTCATCTTCTCGCTGTTTCTCACAGGCTGTTATCTGAACTTGTAGAACCTGAAATATTCAAATATCCATGATAAATATTAGATACACTCTCAATTTCCATTTGTTGAAAATAAACACTTCATGCTTTTAACCCCAGTAACAACTTACTTTTAATGTTTCCCTGTTCCTTTCAATCTGTTCCCTTGCAGTTTGCTCTTCTCTCATACTTTTAACCTTGATATCTTCTGCCCACAAGTCAGCATAAAATTTATCTACTTCTAATTCCTTCTTTTTCTGCTCCTCTTTCATTTTCAACTGTTCATGACGCTCCACAAAAACTTCATCTTGATGACGCTGACTAAGAGTTGAGCGAAGCTCTTCACAATTATCCCTGAAAATCCAGACACATGAAAATTAAATTATAATCATGTGAGATGAAAAACAAGGGGGTTAGCATTGTAGAATCACTTGACAAGAGGCAGGAGCTTTGGGGTTAATTATTTAAGTATAACATGAATTATCATTTCCCTTGATTTCCATCCAGGCAGGGTTTTTTTCAAAGTTTTGAAGTACAGTGCAGGCACTGTAGTTCAGTGTCAACATCTACAATAAATCTCTATTGTCTACTTGACTCCATTTTGAGTTTCTTTATGACCAAAGAAGCCTATGAAACCTTGTAGAGTAATTAGCTATGAGCTTTCTATACAAAACCCTTTAGTTTAATGACACGTAAGGTCTCATGAAATCAATAAGTACCTCCATCTCTGATCAAGCTTTTCCTCCACCAGTTTTAGTCGTTCTTGCTCTCTTTTCTCTTTTAAAAACTTGGCTCTTTCTCTCATCTTTGCCTGCCTTTCAAGAGTTGTTTCTTCTTTTGCTTCCATTTCTTCAATGTACTGTTGCTCTTCAGCCAACAGCATTTCTTTCAATCTAATAATAATAATAACAATAATAACAACTTTATTTTAAGAGGCTGATAGTTTCGAAAGAAACTGTTTGGGGTTGCGTGGGTGGGAGTAACGAAATAATTTGGATATATCAACAAAGTTGAAATGGTAAATTGGCCACCGTAACAATTACAAAAGCTGACGTTTGGAGCATTAGCCCTTCGTTGGAGCGTTAGCCCTTTGCTCCAACGAAAGGCTAACGCTCGAAACGTCAGCTTTTGTAATCGTTACGGTGGCCAATTTACCATTTCAACTCTGTTGATATATCAAAATTATATTATTTTAAGAGGGTAACACATGACAGTAATTCGACTGATGAACTAGTGGACCTCAATCCTAAAAGTATCGTAGTTGATGTTAAAATGTAAAAAATGTATATAAAATGAATTCTTTGATTATAAACAGGTCTATAAGAATGCAAGCTAAAAACTATATAAAATAAGGCCACAAGCTAAGTGCAACAAAATTTATCAAAATGAGTAATACTGCATAAAAGGAGCCTGAAAAAAATTCAGGCTTCAACGGCATTTTGACAGTTTATCCATTTACTAAGTCTTCGAGTTAAACCAATACTTGGAGAAAAACACAAGTTTAAAAGAGAGAATGAATGCCAACATTGTTACTTTATCCCTCACCTTTCTCTTCTATCCTCCAAGCTAAAAGTTCCTCTTTGCATTAACTTTTCAACTCTTCTAGCAATCGTGTTGCTCTTTATTCTTTTATCAGTAGCTTTCTCCCATTCCGACTACATCAAAAACAGAAATAAAATAGAATATCACCCTTAGATTCATTGGTAAACAAACTCAGATGAAAGTGAATATAGAGAGAAGGCACAAATATCAATTATCGGCGTGGAAACATAAAAAAAGCACATTTTCTGTTCGACATCAAGTTTCATATGGCCGCCACACATATCTATGATCATGATACAAAACTTACCTTTAGATCACAATGTTTCTGGTACTTGGTTTCAGCTATAGCTTGCTCCCTAAGTTCATCTTTTCTCCTTGTTTCGAGAATAAGATGTTCCACAGGTCTTTTGCTTGTCGGTTTTGCTCTCTATAACATACACAGCGTGAGAATTAAGCCATTCGTTCTCCAAATGAGTGACAGAATTCATACGGCGAGTTTTATTTATCAACAATCACAAAGTTTAGAAGCATTCTTGCTACAAACAACTGACCTTTTTGTTTCCTAGGTCCTGAGGAAAATTAGGTCCACAAAATGGCCTGACACACAAACAAACTGAAATGCTAGGTTACGCTTTTAAATAGTACGAGATATCATTACTTACGATAGCCACTGAGTGAGGAGTAGGCCCAGTAAATTCCCTACACCTTCGGACGTGTTGAACCATCATATTTACGGTGAATTATTCTTTTGGAGCGACTTGAAGCAACACTAATATACAACTCTTTTGAAGATTGCAGCAGCTGAGTTGGCGCATCGGTTTCTATTCCCTCCTGTTGTCATGACTACCGACAGACCAACACCAAAAAGTGCCTCGATATCGTGCTGAATAGGCAGGACTCTAGTGACCAGTCTCCCTACATTGTACAATTTTTAAAATGGCGGATGGTTATACGATCGTCAGAACAGCGACTGTCGAAAGAAAAACAAAAGAAACAGACATTTCTTTGTCAGTCAACATAGATGGAACTGGAGTAGGTGAGATAAGCACTGGTATTGGATTTCTGGACCATATGTTGACCGCTTTGTCGAAACACGGGCGAATGGATCTCACTTTGAGCTGCAAGGGTGATCTTCACGTGGACGATCACCATTCAGTAGAGGACTGTGGTATCGTCCTGGGCCAAGCGGTGAAAGCAGCGCTTGGCGATTTAAGAGGCATAGCGAGGTATGGCTATGCCTATGCTCCTCTAGACGAATCGCTTTCTCGAGCCGTTGTCGACATATCCGGACGACCTTTTGCCGACGTCAACTTGAACTTGCAGAGGGAGCGGATAGGGAACCTGTCTTGTGAGATGCTACCACATTTTTTGAGTTCCTTTGCCACCTCAGCAGCTATTACGTTACATGTGGACGTGATAAAAGGTAAAAATGATCATCATAGGGCGGAATCTGCATTCAAAGCCTTAGCTTTAGCCCTGCGGGCTGCATTTAGAAGAGAAGGAACTGACATACCGAGTACGAAAGGCGTGTTGTAAATTCCTGGACTGCTTTTTCTCGAATTTTATAGGATCATTTCTGTACAGTTCATTGCACTTAGATAGCTAAGTAGATGGTTGAATGTATCTGTTAAACTAACGCGACAGTAACATAAGTCTTTAGGGGTTCAGCAACAAAGAGTCAATAAAAATAACTATAGTAACTAAATGCTGGTAACATTTCATCGTGGTACTTGACAAAGCATTGATATTTTGTTAGATTATGTATTCCAGGGCTGTGGTCTAGCAGTACCCAGTGCCCCCTGGCACCTTACTTTTGTTCTTGGGCGACTCAAGGATTTTAGTTTTTTCATAAAAGCCTATTCTGGGCACCCTGGGTTTCACAGTTTCAGAGCACTAGGCTCCCTTCAATTATTCTTAGAGTACAGCCATGTATTCAACACAACATAGAGACGATCTGTAAAAAAATTAATCATTTCCTCTCCCTTTTCATCCATAAGGCTAACCCTCAAAGCCAAGTTATCAGTAAGCAATACTGATATCCGTGGAAACACGGTTTTCATACACCAAAAAACTTGTGATTTACCGTAAATCCTTTAAGAAGCCTCCCCCCAAATTCTTTAGAGGAAGGAATTTTTATAAGCCCCCCCTGCCCCTCCTACTCAAAAACAAAAATTCAAAAGAACACTCCATGTCAGTAAGTACAGCAAATTTATTCGAGTACAGTACTCTTAGTTTGTCAATTAAAATTGATCATGGTGATTGATTGATGTTATGTTGGGATCAATAAAATACGGTATATGGAAATTACAGGGCAGTGCTAAAAATATAACATGTCTAAACAAGATCTACTCAGAGAGTTAGATCATAAAATTGAGTTCTTTACTGAGTTCTAAATTAATAAGCCACCCCTCTAATAAGTCACCCCCCCCCCCCCCCGAAGTACCTGAAATAAATAAGCCCCCTGCGGGATTTATAAGAAGATTTACAGTAATCATATTTCAAACACCCCAGCCCAGACCACAACTTTGTGTAAATCTGGCCTTTTAGGAGGCTTCTAATAAAATGATCCCCTTTCTTACAGGTAAGCACAAAATAATGTAAAAACCCGCATACAAGAACACTCATTTTTGGGATTCAGGCTGATTGGGTTCTTATATATCAGGTATTTTAGGTGAAATCAGCCTGAAAGTGTTCTCTAGTGTTCTTAATTTTTTACTTCTAAAAAAATGTAAGGGATTTACTAACTATGATGAAATACTTAACTCATAATTGTAATCATAAGACTTTAAATTCCAAATACAGTTGTTGTACACTTGCTATACACAGCAAGTGAAATTACTAGCATTTAAGCAGAGATCTTAGTGCAATACCACAGTAAAGCTACAGACACTGTTTACTCTATTAAACTGAAAAGGGAAGAGTTTTTATATATTAGAACAGTTTTCAATTTTCACGCTGAATGTGTTCATATATATATGCTCCTTTTTTACAAAATTTCAGCCTGGGTGTTCTTAATCCACATGTTCTTGTATGCGGGTTTTTACTGTACCCAATGCAAATTAATTCTGACCCACTTCCCCTTACACATAATTATCTCGGAAGAACAGATGGAAAGACAGACAGGTAGACAAACAGACGAATGGACCAACTTGATTATGCAGTTTTCTTGGTGTACTTTTTCAACATCTTCACATTCCCTGCCCATATTGAACAGAGCATTCTTGCTGGAGATCAAAGATCTTCTCTCGTAGGTGCAAAATAATTATCTCTCTAACTCTTAAAATACAGTTTGAGCAGATACTGTAAACAGTCACCTTTAAAAAAATCTGCATCTGAAATATAGTAGAATGGGAGATTATCAGTGTAGGGGGAATCTTATTAAAGAGAAACAGCACACAATCTCTTAAATCGATCTTTCATGGGAAAGGGTGTTTACATTTAATCCATCTCAACACAACAGAGAAGACACCAGTTGCACTGTTGTGTCCTTAGTCCAAAGCTTATCGCACGAGCCCTTAAGATTTGAGAACAATGCTTTCCACTTATTGAACAAATTCCCAGTTGTTGTCAGCCCCACTGACAACAGAGACAGTTTTCAAGCTGTCTTATGAGACACCTTTACATAAGCTCGGTTGGCCAGTAAGATTCAGATTATCCTGTGCTTTGTCAAGATTCATCCAACTGAACTATGAATTTTATAATCAGCTGAGATTACTCAGTATTGGTGATAAGGGGAGAAACTTTTTTTCTTCAACTCTTTTCAAGTTCCTCCTCGAGTGCTTCTTTTTCAAGTTCAAGTTGCTTCAGTTCTTTACCAAGTTTTAGGATTTGGTTTTCAAGTCCTTTAATCCTGTAAAATAAAAATAGATTTAAAAAAACGAAAAACTAGCTTCTATTGCATTTAAGGCATCAGAGGTGTAAGTGGGCTACATTAATTATTCGTATTACTGTCAAACAAAACATAAAGGTATGCCAAGGGGGTTTTCTATTTCACCCCAACCCTTGATGTACTTGACAATGTACGAAATTCATATATCCCTCAGCTAGTACAAGTGCCAAAATTGTTCACTTTAGTGCGCCGCAAGGCTCGATAAATTCAAAGTTTGTTTGAATGGAAATCTCCCCCCCTCACCCCTCTATTTGAACCCATAGATATAACAAAATTAATGACTCACTAACCTTGTTTTCTCAGTTCATACTTAGTTCTTATTAACTGAGCGGGAGGTCTGTATGGGAGAATCTTGACCGAGGTCACCAGTAAAGACCGAATGCAGTAAGGTCTGTACAAGCGACTGAGGTCAAGATTCTCCCATACAGACCGACCTAGCTCAGTTAATAAGATGTTTATTATATGGCTGTGTCTTATATGCCAATTTATTATATTCTTTGTACCTTTTTTTCTAGACCGGTCTAGATGGGAAAATCTAGACCTCTTTTAATATTGATTTCAGCCAATCAAATTCGTGAATTCGGTAGTTCCCAGTCCTTGGGAGACACAGCCATAATAATGTAAGATACGAACCTCGTATTTTCCAATCGCATTTATGGCCCATGCCCATGGCACTTGGGCCATAACTTCTGGTTAAAAAAAATCGCAGTCGGTAACTTATAATACGGACCTCGAACTCCGTTAGTAAGAGGTATTTACATGAGGTACTTCGCCTATTGTCCCTTTCATTTCTGATATTGTTAGCTTGTGCTAGGTCCTTAGTCAACAGAGGCGATCAAAAGCCTGCCACAGGGTAAAGGATTGGTATTTTTTTTAACAAATAGATTATCAAACTTGGTATTTCAGTTTACCTTATTTTTCTCTCCAGCTTTTCTTTTTCCTGGTTCAAATTTAGCATTTTTAACTTCTCAGGTCGTGACATTCCTAAGATCTTTTTCAGTTCGTCCTCCTTTTGAATCAGTTCTTCTCTTTCCTGCCTGCATGTTTTAAGATCTTCGAGACTAAATAGTTCTTTTTCAAATAAGTTCTGATGTCCTCCATTTCTCATTCGGGATTTCTCGTCTCTCCTGAGTGCAGTTGCTTTGTCAGTTTCACCCGTCACTTCAATCTCCTGCATAGCACTTTGCAAGGTCTTAACGACCGAGTGTGATTGGACATCACCACCCTCTGATCCTGATCCTGATCCTGAGTTAGACGGAAGCCGTCTTTCCCGGGAAAGGCTTGAGACGGATCCTCCCGGGAGATGACGTACATCAAGAGAATCATTGCTCGCTGATGAAGATACTGAAGGGGAGCGTGAACCAAGAGGCCCACCACTGGGTAGTCCCAAAGGAAAGAGCTGGTGCCCCTCAGGAGGTGGAGGCAGGTACAGATTGTCTAAAGACTGTCTCACAGTCGCACCGGGTACAGGCACAATGCCAATCCAGTCTGGTTCTGTTTCTATCAGGCCGGCTTCCCAATCCGAGTGGACGGATTGGTTATCAGCGTTATGATCCACTCTCTTCTCTTGTGTTGGCCATCTTGAATCTTGATGACCTGTTGAAAAAATAGCGAAAACAATTCACAAAACGGTTAGATTGTACGTAACAGAACTCTCCAAGAAAAAGAAACACCCCTACAATGAAAAAATGCATCAGCATTCTTAAAATTCAAGATTTCAATGAATCTTCAAATCTGTCTAAACTGCAACCAAATTCCTTTAATATCCTTTTAGCTGAAAACATGCTTGACCTTCTATAACACCGAAAAACCGAGAAGAAAAATAATCATGTTATTTGCGCCAATGATTACTTTTTTCACACAAATTGCTTTTAGTTGTAATCATTATTTATAAAGTGTCTATTAAATCCAAATATGTCAAGGTCTTACCAATTTTTCCTTAGTTATCCTTCTAATATGTTCAAAGCTCACAGCCACTGAAGAAGGGCTAACGCCCAAAAGGTCAGCTTTAAGAAATCATTACAGTGACGAATTTACATCATTAAGTCAATTGATGATAATTATCTTAATACCCCCCCCCCCCTCACCAACGCAGCACCACAGTTTCTTTAGAAATTTACTCCCTTTAATTTGCAACTGTCCATCGCCTAAGAGATAATTTGCCGAGTTACGTCTAATGATGGAGCCAACAACAGGGAACATTTTTTACCAAAACACAAACAGAAAAGTCTCGCTTTGCAAGTTAGAATTCCAAAGTACTTCAAGTACACACACACAAATTAAATCAGTGTAGTTAAATTACCTGTGATGTGAAGACTGCTGATGCATTCCCCGAATGACAAACTTGAGGTATCAGACCCTAGCGATTTGAAGTTTGCAGAGAAAAGAGAACGCAGTGATTCATCTAACTGAATCCCCGGCGTTTTCAGTAGCTGAACATTGAGACTTGGGCCGTCAGATTCAAAGAGTTCAACCAAAAGTACACCATCCTCTCGTCGCTTTACCACTGACAATTGAACTGCCTGAAACAGAAAGCGCAGAACACTTTTCACTGGATTCACCATTCATACCGTAAAACATCAGTATGCATATTCTCCAAACTGTTCTTTATACATGTCCTATGGTAGTTACAAGGAGAATTTGTCTAACAATCAAGAGTTCCTCGAGTTTAAGATCATTTCCTTTACTCTCATTACCTTAATATTTGATTTTGTTGGAGGAAATTAGATGCTTAATACTGTTAGAATGTGAAAGGGTTAAGAGAGATGGAAATTGTCAGCCAATTGAAGATATGGAGACTTTCTGAGATTTTCGACAGTTAAGCTTCTGACTGTCAATGATGACTTCCCTCGAGCTAGAAGCAATTTTTCACTAAGGAAAAATAAAAATGTGTTCAAATATTTGTGTATTTCACCTCAAGCGGTAAGGAGAGAGATGTTTCCATGTAATCACAAATTCTTTTAAAAAACTCAGAAGATTCAATGGCTGGATTAATACAACGTGCTCGACAACTATTAAGTTGGTTGACAGCAATGGGAACCTTACACACTACACTGTAGATTGTTCGAGATGTAATTATTAGCAGTAAAAAGAAATCCTACAATTTAATTATTACAGTTATGATGTACAATTACCTGTTTCCTTTTTTTTACTTCTATCAACTTATTCATAGCCATTACTGGTAAAATCGTGGGGGCAGCATCTCTTTGCAGCCCTGCAAGGTTAGCCTTCATAACTTGAGGAGGGATGTGCTTTAGGCTCTGAGGCAATTCGCATAAGCTACTCAAAGGCACAGTGAAATGCCATCCATAATCAATACTCTGAATTTTCACCTGACGAAAACAGAACAACACAATTGACTTCGAGGAAATACAAGCATTTCAGTTTAAATTTTAGGTCGAAAGCTTGGCTCTATCAAAAACACTGACCACTCTGAATCTACCTCTAACAATGTGATTTACTATAATAATTATATAACTTGTGCTCTAAGCAATAAGCTTGACACTGGAGAGACAGGAAGAAGATAAAAAGATCACTTTTCTGATGCATCTGAGCTAGAGAACTCCATAGTAGGCTAAGCCACATCTACTAGGTTCATATCTGACATGCACCCTGCTAAGAGCAGTAAATTCTAGACCACTGAGTGTGTCATAAGTAAGATAGTAAAATTTGAGCTCAGTTGTAAAATGTCTTATTTTGTAACAAGTATGGGAGAAGTAAGTTCATCAGAACACAGAAATCATATCATGAAAATAAGAAGACACGTACCCTATCCACTCCGACTCCGGAACCAAAAGGAACGGATACAATTTTGACCCGGAAGCACCTTCCAGTTTCGTTAACTGATACCACGATGTCACCAATGCGAGGATAGATCTGAGAAAAGTTTGATATTGTAAATTTTAGCTGAGTTTCATGCAACCAAATTCATTATCAAGAAACTTCCAATGTCCAATTAGATCCAAGAAAAATGACCATAAGTGACCAAAGAAAATTTTAAGTAAAAAGATGCAGCCTGCAGGGTTCGTCCCTTTTTTTTCAGAACACATTTCAAGGACTTTTCCAGGACTTTTTCAGGACTCAAATTGATTTTTCAAGGACTCCAAATTTCACCTTAATTCCTCTCATTCCTAAGATTTCAAAATCAATTCTCCTTACCGTCTACATACATTTTATTACAACATTGACTCTGAAAACTTTTTTGCTTCATTTAAGCAGATTTCAGGACTTTCCAGAACTTGTGGTCTTTTTCCAGGACTTTTCTGTCCTGGAAAATGTCAAAATGAACTTTCCAGGTTTTCTAAGACCCGTACAAACCCTGAAACTGAGGAGCAGAAAAATTCTGACAGGCCATTTTGCGATCATCATCTCATTGTTTCATAAGGTGGCGCAATTTTTCTAGACCAATCACAGAGCAAAGTAAAGCAAGTAAAGGCATCTGATTGGTTGAGAAGGTGGCAAGAGTTTTCTGGACCAATCGCAGAGCAAAGTAAATAATAGGCATCTGATTGGTAGAGAAGGTGGCACGATTTGTCTGAACTAATCCCAGAGAAAGTAAAGCAAAAACAATGCAATCTCAGATTTATGCAAGAAAGACAATTGAAAATTACCGGTACCTTAAAAATCTCTAAAGAAATCATTACAGAAACTTCTACAGTCTTACCTTTGTAGCTAAATTCGTTTCAGAGTATATCACCCTCGTCATGTGTTTAAGCTTCTGTAGACTGTTATCATCAGACTTATAGAAGTATATTACATTGAAGGATTCAACCTGAAGAGAAGCAAAAACTTTACAAGCACTGCATGAAATTAGACAGTGCCAAAGTGGAAGAATACAGATCTCTACATCAACAAGCAATTCTGGACTGGGCCAACCATGAAATATGAGCCATTTTTAACCACAATGACAAGTAATGATTGAGTGAAAGAACAAACTGATAGTTAAAAAAGAACCGAGGCAGGAACTGAGTGCACTAATCTCATGAGCAAGTATGTGATTAACATCAAACTTCTCCACATACAATGAATGCATTACACAGCAAACAGATGGTGAGGGTAAGTTTGTGAAGAAACTGTGGTGCTGCCTTGGTGAAGGGTATAATACATGTATGTTGATAATGTAGATTAGTCACCGTAAAGAGTTTCTAAAGTTGACGTTTCAAGTGTTAGCCCTCATCAAGAGAATGATTTCGAGGCTGCTTCCTCGTAATACCACCCAATTCCCTTCGTTCATTTTAACAGGAATCATATCGCAACTGGGAGAATTACAATAAAGATCATGGGGGTTCGTGACTTACATGTGACAGCATAACTGTCATGACTTCTTTCTTCTCAAACAACTGGTAACAAGGGAAGTGCTGTTGGTGCTGTGAAGTCCTTGGAAGAGATTGTTCTACCGTTTGGTTCAAAGTAGAATACTGGCCATTCTCATGTACATTAAGAGGTGTTTGATTCAATTTTTGAGGCAATTTTTCCTGACTGCTCTGCGAGGGCTGCGTGATTTGTTCTCTCTTTTGATCCACAAGCTTTTGCACTGGGTTTGGAAATGAATAAAAAACTTGGATATCCTGTACAGTTTGCGGGCTAACATGCATGGGCGGAGGCCCTTGTCTCCCTGACTGCTGCAGCTGAGCTGAGAATGTTGGATTTGATTCAGTGTTTATTTTGTTTCCGATTAATCCTGATGCCCCTTGAGTTTCCATTCTTGCCTCTTGAACATATCTTGTCAATGCCATTCGTTCATTTACTTATACATCTTTTCCATTGTCATCCTTGACAAGAAGTTCCACCTCTATGACATGAGGCTACATGCCCCACAACAAAAATAAAATAAAACATTTTAAAAAACTTTAAGAGGTATTAAAATGGGAGCCTAAAGGAATATCACTGCAGTTTAATTCGTTTTAGTAGTAATGTACTGAACAGACCATTGGAATCACAAGGTCAAAACTGTAGAGGAAATGATCTCAAGGAAAAGGAAAACTGCTTTGAGCTTCCAGTTAACATGAATATAATCACAATAAAAGTATGATGAGGGCATCTGGAATTTTTCCCTTACCACTCTTTACTGGCCCTACATCTCAAGTTTGCCTCCTGAAGAAGAACAAGTTTGCCCCAACCTTCACCAGTTCACACCGTTTCAAAATTTTACTTCAGGAACTGAACTCGCAATAGGGGGGCAAATTTGCAATGGGGCGAAACCTCCCATGACAAGTCCCTCGAATATTGCACTCAGTTTGACTTATCATGAGGGTTCCGGTCATTTGCCACTACCACAAACTCGCCACTACTCAAAGTGAAATTGCCACCCATCGTGATTTCACCGAAACCTTATGTGTAGCCTCTCCTGTGAAAACTATATCAAATGAGTTGTCTGTATTTAAAGAAAGGCGAGAGGAAATGAACAGGCCATTGATAAGTTTAAATTTTTCATTAAAATTCACTATCCTGTTATTTGCCGACAGTAACGTCTAGTTACCTGATTAGCATCTGATGAGTGACACACTCTTGCTGTACACACTTTATCAATAATCAAAGCACTCAAGTATGCTGAACCTTCATTCATTGTCTCAGGTGACAAATCTGTTGCAACCTCAATACCTGCAAGAAAACAATATGCACGATATCCAAATATAGCGCTCCTTTTCTAATTAGAAACACTAAGAAGACATAAACAACTTAATATTTAAATAATCATTTCTTTCCTTCTCATCACCAAAATGTGTTTGGTCCAGAACGGTTATTGTAAGGACAAATAAGATACCAGTTGCTCTTAGACGCTAACCCTTCAACCTCGAGGAGTGATTGGCTTTTAATTTCTCCTTACAATGTCACCCTTGAATCAAACAGTCAGGTCATGAGAATAGATCACCAATTCAAGACGCTCTTGATTGGTTAACAAATTCTCCTTGTCAGTACCAAAGGAAACATAAAGAAAACAGTTTGGAGAAAATGAATACCAATGTTAGGCTGTAAAAGATATCAAGGTAAGGTTTATATGGGGCTTTTACAATTATAGCAAGTGTTCCTCTTGCAAGACCGTAAGTGTCATGATAAGCATACAGTGTACATTTAAAATTACACTGTAAAGGTATGCTTTTTATTTATTTATTTAAACACTTTCACCAGAGTGTGGTGAGGGTTGCACAACAGAGTGAGACTCTAAATTAAGTGCACCCAATATCCCACCCCAGGGGAGGACATCCATCACACAGTAATCTCGTGTGTGGGAAATTAACGTCTCCTACCCCCAACCCTGCAGGAGACGGGACCTCCATTTATTCGTCACTATCCGAGAAGATTAGAATATCTAACCATTTCTTGATGTTATAGAAAGGTAGCAAATTCTTCTCAATGCTATGGGCTGAATATTTCGTTACAACCCTTTCAAACAGTACATGTACATTGACAAGTAAAGTTTGTACCTGCTAGCTTGAATGGCACTGCCTGAGGAGCAAGATCCCAGAATCTTTTATGTATGTCTGTAAACTGATCCCATGATATCCATTCACAGTTTCCATAGTCAAGATAGAAGACTTTTGCTTGCTTTTTGTCCATTTTTGTTACTTCTAAACACCAACATCTGATAAAAAAAAGTACTATTCCATTCAAAGGTTGTTTTTAACTTTTCAATGTTTTGCATCTTTAGTATTTGAATAGACAACAACCTCCACAACCTTGCCTTGTTGAGCATAATTAAAACACAATATTGAATGGCAAAGAGAAGAAAACAAGCAGAAACAAAGCTTTACTACGAGAAGTTTTGGGTTTACATAATAGTCAATGGCTTGATTGACACCACTAAGTTTTTCCCAGTTGCTGCCCATACATGTACACATATCTTTGTCAACTTGATACCCGTAATTTCCAGCCATTTACCCGCACGGCCGTTTACCCACACCGGCCGATTATTGCATGCAGCGAAAAAAAAAAAGGCAACAGAACAGTTACCCACACTGGTGGATAACCCGCACCTTAAAAAAGTAAAGGAAATTTGTACAACTATGCTCTAGAACTCACAACGGTGAATAATTGACAGAATGCGAATTCACGGCCACATTTATTGCAAACGATCGTTCAGCGCCATGTTGATTTGTTGATTTCTCAAAAAAATTGATATCTCCGGTTCTACTGGGCCTAACAAGTCCCTTAAAATGGGACAATTCTCTTCAGCTGAAGCTAGTGTTAACTGGAAATTTTTTACAGATGCGCCGGTTATCCTCAGCTTATTTTTGTCACCATCAACGTTTTGTTTACACACGTGCCGATAGTAATTTGTTCAGATATGATGAATATATGAAGTTCATATATTTTGAACTGCGGTTATAGATACGTATGATGCAGGATCCTCGCAGTAGAGAGCGCTATTTATGCAATAGCGAAAATCAGACCTGAAAAAAAGCAGGCCTGTATGGGATTCGAACCACTGACCTCTGCAATACTAGTGCAGCGCTCTACCAATTGAGCTAACAGGCCAACTGGGAGCAGGCCGTTAAGTTGATTCGTAATAAATCCATGATGATAAATCAGATATGATGAATATAAGAAGTTCATATATTTTGAACTGCCATTATAGATACGTATGATGCACAATCCTCGCACAAATAGCGCTCTCTACTGCGAGGATCGTGCATCATACGTAGTAATTTGTTCGTTGCGCAACCAATTGTGCGTGAAATAAAATCGAGTCAGCATCATGTTTTCGTGCCGCTTTGTGGCACTCTTAATACAATAAAATTCATCTGAGAAGTGGAAATGCAGGTAGGTGAGAATTTTCTTCAACTCAACTGCTAGTAGATTTCAAAATTGTCACATAACCCGCATCTCCCTATTACCCGCAGTGGCGCATGTTTAAGGCAAAATCAACAGATTACTCGCGGGCAAACAGCCGGAAATTATGGTATTATCATAATGATTATAAAGTTTAATATGGATGATTCTCAAGGTTGCTATTTATTCAAAGATTTTTTTCAAATCATCTAATAATGCACAAAGATGCGAGAAATGTTGAAAGAGATATTACAAATGAAAAATTTGTGAGATCTCTTTTGTATGAAGTAAACACAACTTAGCAGTAGCATGTGCTACTTGTGCTGTGTACCTAGGTGAGCAGAAACACCACCAACACCAACAAGGAATACATTACACTTATTCATGGTTTACCTGTACCAAAGATTATCTTCCGAAAATATTGCTGCACCCAGCTGATGCTTGACAGGCATACAACGTTTATAATGTTCTACGATCTGTAGATCAGTTCTGATTTGTTCCAGTTCCTTGTAACTTCCACTCTAAAATAGAAATATTTGATACATAACTGATTTAAAAATAAGACAAATGTTCCTCTTGAGCAAAGTTCTATGGTTAGAACCAATTCTAATACTTTTGGATCAAGTAAGGATGTCAGCTTTTAAAAGCATTGAAAAACTTGGATATATCAACAAAGTTGAAGTGGTAAATTGGCCACCGTAACAATTCCAAAAGCTGATGTTTCGAGCATTAGCCCTTCGTCCTTTGCTCCAACGAAGGGCTGACGCTCGAAACATCAGCTTTTGGAATCGTTACCGTGGCAAATTTACCACTTCAACTTTGTTGATATCTCCAAATTATTTCGTTACTCCCACCGACGCAGCCCCAAACAGTTTCTTTCGAAACTATCAGCCTTTATTCATTGAAAAACTTGCTGGACAGAGATGATATAATTATCTCTTACACTGTACTTATTAACAGAAACATCAATGAATTATCATACTGCTGCCGTAGATTCCTTTTGCATCAAAGTATCTAAGATATCTCAACATTCCTGTTAACATTTTACACCTTGACATTAGTTTAGAAATTCTCAATACTCTTCTCTGCACATTTCGTTAGGGGAGACCAAGGAGAATTTAGTTAACAATCAAGAGATTTTTCAGTGGGTGATCATTTTCTTTTATTCTCATGACCTTAATTTGCGATTCAAGGGGGATGTATTAGAAAGAAATTAAATGGTAGTCACTCTTAGCAGTTATAGAGTTAAAGTTACTTGAAATAAAGTGTAATCCCTGGCAAAGTATTGGCGTGCACTTTATCCCTGAAAATTTGAAGCTACAGCTATAGTGCTGGAATGCTGAACAATTTTGCTAATAAGTAAGAGGTTCAAGATGTAATAACTCTGCTATAACAACAACTAATGAAGCTGTTCCCACCTTGTCATCAATGTTGGCCCAGAAGTGGCAAGAGTCAACAACATCAGTCACAAGAACTTCAAACTCCTGAGCTTCCATGTTATCCATGGTCCTTAGTGGTTTCTTACACTTCAAGTAAAGTTCACTCATCTCTGTATTGGTCAAAAGAATATGCCTGGGTCCAATTTCCTCCTTAACAACTGAAATCTCTGGTTTGCTGGTGGGACTAGAGTGGCCCTTTTCAACACTAGTTCTTGAAGAAGAACTGATCTTTTCATTTTCCTCAAGTTTCTTGTTATAGACACTACAAGAGTTGTCTGATGTTGTTTTACCACTTTCCTGGTTTTGTCCAACATTTCTTCCACTTGATTCTCTGAATCCATTGACAGATACACCAGACTGATCTTTCTTGCTGCCTCCTGAATCAAGTGCACCATCAGAGAAGTTATTATATGGGGACGACTGAGGCCCCAGGGGATCACAGCTGGATATAGAGCTCTCACTAGAAGTGAGTGACTGCCCCATGGTACCCACTGAGAAAGTAAATGAGAGCACAAAATGATCAAGAATAAACAATATGACACTAAATGCTTTCTTAGAAATAATCACCTCACATCCATCCAATTCAAAATGCAGGAAATACGGGTAAGCTCTTATTAAAACAACAATAAATAATTGCCTAATAAAGTGAAGTTGAGTGTGAGAAATATCCTGAATCCAGCTCCTCAATAGAGACTGCTCCCATAGCAGAAAATATTACTAACTCAGGAGTGAACTCTCCCTCAGAAGGGAGAGGGAGCCAACTACATGTAAAGCTCTTCTCTAGTAGAGCTTAGCTACCACAGGTGACTGACTTTTGTCTTAAGGTAACATGTAAAACAATGAGGATCTGGACACACTAGCTGTATGATGTAAGAGCCCTCAGGTACCAAGCAATTTCTATGAGAACACAGCTTTTCAAGCGCTTGTCACAGTGGAAAGAGGAAAGGGAGAGGGAATGGTACTCTGCAGGAACAGCCCCCTCAAGAATGCTTATACTCATGAAACTCTAAATAAACAGCCAATGAATTCTTGTGCGCACACAATTTTCTGTTCTGGAAAGACTGATTACATCAAATGGCATCACTTACCTCCCCTGCATCAAAATGTTGATTAATTTTATTGACTTATAACTTATGGTTTTTGAAAGAATTCATTTGAACTACAGAAAGGAAATGAAACCATGAAATGGTTCTTACACTCATGTCTTAGACTGTTACCATTACACTTGTTTGCAAGGCTGAGTGCATGGAACATCAAGTGGACAGGTACCAATTACACCCTCAGGCATAAAGAGGGAGCAGTGCCTTCAACTTATGTTTTCAAACACTCACCTAGAAAGTTCTTTTGCTGCTTGGCTTTGCCTTTGTGTAGTTTAGGGGTGACTGTGAGTATCTTATCACCTACTTTTGTACCTTTCAATTCTTCCAAGGCAGCTACTGCTTCATCCTTTTCCGCAAAGTAAACAAAGGCATATCTGAAATTAATTTAACCAAAAACATTTTAAAAATAAATACAAGAGAAACACTACAATTCTCCTTAATCAGTGAATGTAAAAAGTACAGTCAGGCATTTACCATTCTTGGTAAAAAGTAAACACTGGCACCAAAAAGATCTTCCATTTGGCCCAGGGCTGTTATACAGAATGGTGTTCTTTATATTGTTACAAGCATGAGGAAAGAAAATAATGAAACAGTTTAAAGGTGTTTCATACCAGTGTTTGTACATTTGATAATTCAACCAAATATCAGTAAATTTTTCTGCATGTAATCTTTTTTTAATCTGTTGATTCCCAATTGGCAATTTTTTCTGAAATTTTTTAGTTAGTTTTGTGGTTTTTGAAGTTAGCTAATGTTGTGGCTGATCTGTCATAAGTTGTCAGTTAAATCCATAATTTAGGTCCTAAATAGCGTAGTGAATGTTTGCCTAAGTTATTGTGTTGTATCTAGAAATAGAAAAGTCCGCCTGTCTTAAATTATAGGAAGTGTTGTGTTTCTGAAATATATTACAAATATTCAAGGGGCTGAGGTTGTTTTTAACTTTGCACATTAAAATGCATATATCCTGTAAGCATCTGTTTACTAGCAAAGGTAAATTAGCTTTCTGCAGCAAACGTTAATAGGTGGAGTGTTTATCTTTGAATACAGCCCTTAGGCCTCTTTCTTGAACTCTCTCCAATCTGCGACTATCACTAGATTTACAAAAATGCTATGTGAGATGGCAGTAGGTTAGATATGGTAGAATGATATGATACGTATGGTACAATAAAAGATAAACCATTCCAACATGTTGAGCTCATATACAAGTACTAACTTCTTTTTCATCACAACCTTCACTACTTTTCCATGTACACTGAGGATTTGTCTGAGTGATTCCTGAAGAAAACCAGAGAACTATAATTACTTTATTTGTGTAAAGACAAGTATACAATGAAAAAATATAAAACATTTTAAAAATTTCAATTAAATAATTACTTTGGGGTCCATCAAAAACCAAAAATTTCCCTGTGGTCACCAACTTTCTCTTTCCAAATATTTTAATATGCTTTTAATTTTAGAAAAATACATTTTTTAGATTAACTTATTCAACCTAATTACTACATTGGAATGCCTATAGAAACAAATCCCTGGAAGAATTCCAATAAAGAGTTACTTGTTATGTTAAAATCATTTAGTTAGCTCTCATTTTTATTAAAAATATTAAATTCCCTGGCTCGAAACAACATCCCTTAGTGCATTTTTCCTGAGTTGAAGAATTTTCTTCAAGATCATTTTTCGATAAAATTCAAATCTACCTGTGTCATTCCAGCTGGAAAATTGCTGACATGAATGGGATATCCCCCAATTTCTTTACAAACAGATATTGCAGAATTTTCTTGCTTGTAGATTTTCTTTTTCTCTTCTGCTGTTATCTTTGGCAACAGAGCACTTTCAGTTTCCCAGCTTTCTTCTGACAAAACTGTTTTCAGTTCCTTTGGTGATGACAAAGGACTCTTGTCCTTAACACTACTGCTGGGTCTAAGTTCTGTAACAACAGCATCTTCACTTGCAAAACCATTTATGATTAGGGAATTTTTGTTCAACTGTTTTTTAGTGTCTATCTTTGTCTCTTCTTTTCTCTCTTTACTTGATTTTGCATTTTGAACAGAGCCATGTTCAGTGGCTGGATTAATCTTCAACACAGAGCCACGTAATTTGTAACCATTCATGTCACTCATTGCTTGGACAGCATCTGCGTGTTTTGAAAACCTCAGAAATGCAATCCTAAAAATTTTATTGATAAAAAATTATCATAACAATAAGTCAGAAAATAAAAAACAATTAAATAAAATATCAACGGAACTTGGCGGTGTTATACTTAACAATTAGGTGAAAGAAGAATTTGCTTGTTTTGCTAATTGTAGAAGAGTAAGTCACTGTATTATCAACAGGATAAAAATGCATATGTAAAAAGAAATGATACAAAGGAGGCCTTGGCAGGCTTTTTATGAAATAAGAAACACTCTCCTTCCATAGGTCTTCCCTGCATCCAATTAGACACGAACATGGCAGTAATTTAAACAGACCTGCTTCACGAACAACTTACCCATGAGAATTATCTATCTTCACTTCACTTAAACTTTTATAATTCTTGAAAATACTCCTCAGTTCACTCTGCAAACATAAGCAGAATTTAAAAAGCCAGATGAAAAAAAAAATCGCTCACAAGAACAGAAATAATCAGCTACACAAATTCAACTATTTTGAATTTGTGCAGAGGATCCTTAAAATCTCTTGGGTAAAACTTTCAGCTGGCTTCCGCAATCCATAACCTCCACACCAAGGCTGGCAATGTTTTGGTTGGTGGGGGTAAACAAATAATATTAGTGAGCTACAGAAATCTTTCACATTGTTAGGAGGCATTACCCCCCTGCTTTTTTCCCTTCTCCTCTTTTTCGTTCCTCCCTACACAATGACAGACTGGAACAGGTTGACGAGGACTTCAACCCTGTTAGTGGAATAAAAATTTTATTAGAGCACCTTGCCTGAACATTTTGCTACTGAAAAGTACACTGGCTGAAATCTTGGCTCAATAGCTGGGCTCATATCTCTAAAATCAAAAGAGAAAACATTTGTGCCACTCAACCATTCAATTACCATGAGTGACCAAGACAGAATTCCTCCTTACAATATCAATACAAAATCAGGCAGACAAGTGATGAGAATATAGAAACGTATCACTTTGGGCATGAGTAGCCGATACAAAGTCAAATTCTCTTCACCAAATAGATAAGAATTATATAAAAGACAGTAAAAAGAATATGAATCTTGAAGGGAAAGAGTTAAATGGAGGAATGCCGGTAAGACAACTGTAAATAAATTTAATCTATACCTAGTGTAGATAAGCTTACTTCTTGACAACGTGATGGCAATTGCGCGATATGAATCGCATATAGCCCTCTGTAGTTAGGTAAAATAACTTTTGTTTGGTCTGAGTCTACCGTAACTTTTAAAGAAGCTTTATCGTGCACAACAGTTCGGTCTTTTGATTTGCTCCTCTTGTTTCGCGGCCACTCCGAAGGATGTAGAGATTTAAGGCCATTTGGGACACCTTCAGCCTTCTTTGCATGTTTGGAGATAAAAACCCCCTTTTCAGGAACTCCAAAAACTTTATTTTCTCCATCTTTAATGGAAAATTCCAGCCTTGCAACGTCCGGGATAGCTAACAAAAATTCATAGAGGTCTTGGAAGCCATATTGCTTGTAGTCGAGTTTTGAGTTTGTCAGCTGGAGGTAATCTTTCTCCACCCCCGTTTGCTTGATCCCCTTTGCGCTGGATAACAACACGGATCTTAATGATATCTTTACGAACTGAGGTACCTCTCCAGCCATTAAAAACAACAAAGTCTGTGGAACATAACTCTTGATCGCTAGCTTGTCCGACAGCTTGTCCAAAACAAGACCAAACACACGACCACGTGCACGATTCAGCGGTCATCAAAACAAACCCAGGCGCTATTCTGAGAGCACAGCAATCAAACATCAACGAACAGTCAATCAAATGTGCATGCGCAAATAAATCAGTTTTGGAAAGCGTGAAACTATGTCACGCAAAATTCACGATAATGAATTGAACTTTTTTCTAAAATAAGCTAATTTCGGATTGAATCACGGACCAGAACATGGTCCGGATTTCGAAAAGGATCACAGACTGGATCACGGACCGGATCACGGACCAGATTGGATCACTGATCGGATCGCGGACCAGATCACGGACCAGATCACGGACCGGATCACGGACCAGATCACGGACCAGATCACGGATTGAATCACTGATCGGATCGCGGAGGATAGATCGCTATCGAGCAGATAAAACGCACTGGGATAGAGATTTATCTAGTGGATAACATCATCCGCTATTTGGCCTGCAGCAATGCAGGTGTCTTATTAGGACGATTTAAAATTAAGAAACTCCCGATCGTTTACTCAACTAGCCATGTTTCGATTTGGGGATGGAGTCGAAATTGGAGGGGGGGCGGGGAAAGGCGCTGAGAAAATCCTGAGCACTTGCTCGCCAAAATTACGTCTGTTCTGCAAGCTATCCACCCTTAAAATCTATGATTGGGTTAGAAAACTGGCGCCGCTCTCTCGACCAATCAGATACAAAAACCAAAACCAAACACGATTTGGTCGCCCGCATTTTTTCGCGTCTTACGTAGATTGGTTGTTTTTATTCTGTGTTCTCATTGGTTCTGAAAGGTATCATCCTTTCTTTCAACTGGGCATTATGATTACTTCGGTTTTGGTCAAGAAAAACATTCTTAGCAAAGAACACAACTGCTCAGGAACTGAACGGAGTGGAGGAAACTTTTGATGGCTCCCGGCCGCCGGACAGGAAAGCCGAACAAGAAATTTTTTACCCAAAAACTGTTTATTAAAAGAAAAAATAGCCAACAAATATTTTGTGAATTTAACACTCTACTCGCTACACGGCTTTTCAAAGTGAATGCATCGCTGTATAAATTCTCAACGTAACTCAACTTTATTGGTCGCCTGCAACCAGAACTTTATTTGATACTAATCTAAGTTTCCTTGTCCGTTTTAGGAAAAAGTAATTTATGTGTACTCTAGACTAAACTAAATTGGAGAAATAAAAGAGTATACTTGATACGTATCCAAAATTAACTATTCAATAAGCTTTCCCCTAAAATATGATTGGAGATTTTTTACACTGGAAAGCAACCTTTATTGAGAATGTTTAACTAGTTAGTTTCCAACCTCCAGCAAGAGTTAAAATAGGCTGGTTTTACTTGAAAAAAGTTTAAGTTAAAAATGATACATCTTACTCGCCCAACAAGCGGTTAGCTAGACATCTGTTAATTCTCATGATCATTCACATTAGTATAATTTGTAATATAAAAAAAATTCTCTAACAGCTAAGGACGCCGCCTCGAGGGGCACTGCGGAGAGCTTACTAGCTTATTGGCCAGCTTAAAGCTTGAATCTTTGAGAGAATTTTCAAACTCACTCTTTATCATAATAAAAATTCTGAATATCACCCATGCTCGAGCAATTTACCTTGCACTGTGGAGTACGTATTGAGCATTCCTATTAGAGGTGTGTATCGGAATTCCTAGCAAATTATAACAAGCGTTGTGATCGTCTAGGAAAGGGTAGTCCTGAAAAGGACTGGAGACCAGAGTGAACGCCACAAAGGTTAGCTAGCCAAGGTTCCAAACATTCAATTTGCAACTGACCAAAACCTCTCACCCATATTGTCGAAACATCTGTCTTTTCCACCGAAAACAGTTTTCAAACTACCCTGAGCAAGACGAGCGTAAATTAAGATCGACTGTTATTCCTAGGTTCAAAGACATTTTCTTTACAATATAGCAAATAAAGCAAATCTTTATCTAAGTATTACTACCAGCTTCCACAATCTCCAACAGTTTTTCCTCTTTCGTAATTACTGAGTCACAAGTAAGTATAGTAAGTAAAGTAAGTAAGTATAGCAAATAAAGCAAATCTTTATCTAAGTATTACTACCAGCTTCCACAACCTCCAACAGTTTTTCCTCTTTCGTAATTACTGAGTCACAAGTAAGTA